ATAGATAGATAGATAGATAGATAGATAGATAGATAGATAGATAGATATTCATAAGCCAAACAAGCCAATAATTGAATTAAACATAGTGTAAATAGGACTATGTTAACATTAGCAGTAATATTTTAAAGGGTATTCATTAAGACAAGTCATTTAGCAGAATAATTACATGTTACTTACTGTGTGTGTAAATCTGTGCTAGACAATCCATCTTAAACTAAGTATTTCCTTGGTAATCTGTGCTGTCCCCAGGTCAAAGTAGCCAACTTGCATTTGACTCATAAAAATTTCACCACACGGCACGTCACTGTCCTGATTCAGTAAATGCTCCACCTTTTTCTTTCTTGTCCCTCCCTCTCTCTCTTTCTCTCTCTCTCTCATTTTTCTGTGTACCTTTCTCTGATTGAGTCTCACATAAAAGTGAAACTTCCCTCATTACAGAGCAGTGTGGGGTTAAAGTACAGAGTTCAACTTTTCAATAAAAACCAGGCTCCTCCTCGGCCACTTACCCTGTTTTATGAAAGGTCCTTCAGCTATTCCTCATAACTGAGCAGTGTGCGGTGCCTTCTTTCGTCTTACAGCTTCCAGTCTTGAAAAACAAGTTTGCCACCTCCGCACAAAAGAATGCATATGCCTCTGACCTGCACGTGTAATGCAACGAGGATTTTGTGGGAGGCTACACAATGGCACACACCTCACACAAGAGCTCAACTGGTTAGACCACATAGTGAATCAGTCACCAGGTACAAGGGCTGCCTCCCGAGAAACGCAGTAGGACAAACGCCTATTGTGTGCCTTTCAATTAGGCACATCAGAGAAACTTTGTTACATCAGAGGTAAACAGTTTTTGTCCTGGAACCATGTTTTGAGTACAATGAGGCAATGAAACTGAAGCTTGTGATTTTAGAGGGATTTGGACTGATGAATTTATAACAACAACATTTACAGTAACTGACTGCTGCGATTTCCAGTTTGAGATAAAATTTATTTAAACAACTTGTTGCCGGACACTACATTAGCAAACAAAACGGTTTTCACTACAGCTCTGAAGTCTGGAGCATGAACAAATTCACATTATTCATATTGTGGTTAGCACTGGCCAAAGAAAATGTCTTTTGCAAATGTTTCCACTTTTATTTACCGCATTTCACATCCTATTTGCTTGGAAATGAGTACTTGAATTTTTTTATAATCTATACAATTTGGCACGTGACATGTTCCGTCATCAGATGAGTCGATGCAGGATCCATCAGAACAACAAAGCATGCTGCTTTAAATGCGAAAGGGAAGACTGAGGCAGTAATAAATTCCTCAGATGTCAAACAATCATTGTGCAATTGAAAGGAGGGGTTACACAAAGGTAAACATGCCTCTATCTAAACTTGTTTCGAGTGAATAAGTTGCAACAACAGTAAGATGTGCTTGGCTTTGTAAATAAAATGAGAACAGTCAGTAAACAGAGCAGAAACATTTATTATGTATTTGTATCTGTGAAAGAAATAGTTGAAAACAACAACATATTTGACAGGTATAAATTTTCTTGTTTAATTTTGGAAAATTTCCTAACTTTTGGAAAGTTTGGAATAACATGCAGTCATCATATAATGGATACTTTTAGTTTTTAATTAAGTTTATGTCTGATACAAAAAAAAAAGATAGCTTTTGTTGGTTTATGTTAATTAAAAACAGGTTATGTTTCTTTGTTTTGTTTTTTGTCGCCCATTGACTTCTGGGATAGGCTCCAGTCCCCCTTCGACCCCATTAGGGAATAAGCGGTAACAATATTGGATGGATGGATTGATTGTAAAAATTATCTAACAGAGTTTCTGATTAAAGTTTTGTGACAAAGAAATCATTCAGAGATTTCTGCAGGGCATCGTCAGCTGAAATGAGCCAGCAAGGCACTGACACAGGAGACCCAACACTGTAGTCAACAGCAGTTGAACTGAAAAAGAACAAAAAGAAAGCAGTTCAGTTTTATTTTCTTACCAAAAACAAAAAAAGATTCTACAAAAATAAGAAATGAAAATGTGCTAAATGTACTTTATAGCTTCGATCTCTTCATCTCCCATCTTGACTTTTGTGATGGGATTTTCTTGCACTTCATTGTACATTGCTGGCTTCAGAGCTGCACAGAACAAGAACAAAACAGAACAAGCTGTGACTGAGAACCATCCCTCTCTTCCATGTCAACACACCACCAACACAACACCAGGGAACCTGTTATTGGACTGGTATCATATCATACCAGCAAATGTGTCAACATCAAGCAATGTAGAGACGTAAACACATAGACACATTTCCCCCACCTAGCAGTCCCTCGGTGTCACCAGCAGATGGTCTCCGTCTTAAAACTGGCCAATAGAATTCCATGCCGTCCTTTATGTGAATCAAGATGACAATTCGGATGTCCTCAGCTTCAATATCTATTTCGTTGTTCCGCTTGATTATTGTCATACTAAAAAGAGACACGCCACCTTTAAACACTTATCTTTTGACATTTTTGACGAAATAATGAATTAGAATGCTCCAAATGTGGTGAAAATGTTCACATTTGGAATTCTTGCAGAAAAATGACACCAAAGCACGTCAATAAAGATATTGTAGTGCAATATATCTAATTATATATAGGTTTGGAATGTGTGGTTTATGTTGTGTTCATTTGTTCCTTCTTCAGTTTTTATTAGTTAATTCCTTGTTTCTGTTTTCTGAAACTTGCGTTCTTACTGAGCGTCCTCAGTATTTTACCTATCTGGTTGTCTGCTCCACTCCCTTCACTTTTATCATTTGTCTCAGCTGCTCTTCATTCAGCAATCTACTCCTGTAGATGCGGACTACATCACTGTTAACTCTTAAAAATGTTCCTACCAGATGTGCCATGTGTAGTTCATGTCAGTGAGCAACAACAGCTACAATTTAAAATGTGCATTTTGCATAATACTGAGAGATTCCACGGTCACCTTCCATCCGACAGGGGATCCGGAGCAGTGTAATTTATCACCATCTGTCCGTCTTTGACTTTGATTCCCTGCGAGTCAATCTCAATATGCTGGTCTGTTTTGAGATGGATGACTATCTTTTGAAATCCCCCATTTGTTATGGAATCCAGTTCACCATTTACAAACAGATCTAGAGCGAAGAGACCAAAATGAAAGTCAACAGTATACCGGAAACGGTGATGGAAAGTTAGACACTCTTGTTTGTTTAAGAGTTTGCTCTGAAGTCAATGTTTGTATGCACAGATTATCTATTTTCATTCAATTGCAAATCCAACAGGCTCTGTTTATATGTTCTGTTAGAAATTAGCCATTTAAAGCTTTTAGCACTGTTGGCCACTCTGCATGAAATAGCAGTCCTATAATTTCCAATGCACACAAGTAGAGGAGGAATAATATTCAGAATCTGACAAAAAGAATCATCTGGAAATGTCCCCACTTTGTTCCCTTTAACCTGTTTACCTGTTTATTTTCCCATATATGCATATTCCAGACATGAGACAATCAATCAATCATGGTGCTTTCTATAAAATATTCAGCAAAAAAATTCTAGAGTTAATGACTGAAATATTGCCAATTATGACAACAGACTAGCTGCAAGTGGCAGCATTGGAAGTTCATGTGAGGCACACAGGTTTAGTGTGGCATTGACCCTGTGTCAATAACAGGATTTTAACCAACTCACTTTGAGTTTTATGCTCACCTACAAGCACTGATACTACATCTGTCAACAATAAATATTGTGCTGGCAGGATGTAAGATTGTTTTCGCCTCCAACTTGAGCACTACATGTCAGCGATTGTCACACATTGATCCTGACTGTGATGTTGGCATCAACAGAGATGGTACTGACCCCTGCTGGGATGATGAAGGAGTTTGAGGATGACGGCTCCGCTAACGTCAAAGCAAAGTGAGGGAGACTGACTCTCAGTTTTTAGCAAAAACCTGTGGGAAATGGAACCTAGAGAGAAAAAGACACACAATCTAAGCATGAAACCAAACGGGAATGAACTGACATCCTGAGCAAATTAACCAAACAATATACCAAATGTTTTTTAATCCACTCATCCACAAATGTTTTTGTTTCTTGAGTAGTTTGCTGTGAAGTTACTGTTTTTTAACCAAAGATTATCTATTCTGATGGAATTTAAAATCGAATAAGTAATGTTTTTTTTCTATTTAAATTTTATATCTATATATATTTATTCAATATATATATTCAATATGTATTCAATTTAGTCAGTATTTGTGACTAAATTATACAAATTTTACAGATACTCTGTTGACACTTTACCAAAAGTTGATCCCATTGTCATTGTTGGTCTCACTGTTGGTAGAAATTCTGGGGCAGAGTAATCAGTCATCAAAAAGTCCATTAGCATGGGTGCTTGCGCTGTAAAAGATTTAACAGAACACAGGCTCTTCAAAGATTAATATCAAGAGGATTTGAAAAATAAGTGAAGCACTTCAATAAGACAACTGCATGATCAAATGACTCAGAAATAGCGAAAAAGCGAAAAAAGACTACCTGTGAGCAAAATATTGCTGGATGGTTCGAGTAATTTTAACTTCTTGCCTTGAAATAAATAAAATTCCAAATGATGAGACATCCAGACAGACACAAACATAGAGTAAAGAATGCTTTTCAGAAATGAAGCATTAACTTAATTTCTGACAGGAATCAAGTTTAGCTTTGTTACAGTGTGTCTCACTGTGGCACATTTCACGAGCTGCCGTTGAGTTAGTTGGTTGGATTATTTCAAGTTGAAAATGGACTGAAATCTAAATTCTGAATCCTTCTGTCACTTCTGAAAGTTGTTGGGGCACAGGGCTGCACATGAACACAGTATAATATGATGAATAAGATTATTCATGAGGATAAAAAAAAAAAGATAAATCTGAATCGCCAATGGGTTCTTTGACTTTATTAGTTAAAACAATTTCTGGTAAATGCCAAGTAGTGTAGAGGAAAAGCTTCATTTTTCCCCCATAGATGCTTTCTTGCATTATGAAACAGGAGATTTTTCCTTACCTTGATAATTATGGGATCCGTTAGGTCCTGACTGTGTGTGGTTAGTCATTTTAAAACTACTTAGCTCCATTACGGTATAAAAAGTGTGTTTAGTGTTTGAACCAACATCATAACAGAGCACTTATCTGCAATGTTTTATACCTCGGAAGCCATGATGAACACGATCTCCTAATGAAAAAGAAAGTGTGTCAGAAAAAGTTTTTTTAGTCAAACTGACCACTGAAAGAACTTTAACATGATATGCCACATTCTCTCTCTCTCTCTCTCTCTCTCACACACACACACACACCAGTGGAAAACACCACATCTCTTCCTGTATCATTATACTTGGACATTTTTTATCTTATTCTAATAATTATATCTGTTAGGTAGTGTTAGTCACTCATTTTAAAACGGATAAACCCTGTGACAATATGAATATTTTTAACCAACATTGTATCGGAGCACTTATTTGTAATGTATCTTACTTTGAGGATTTCCCGCAGAGAACGAATGATGCACTATTCAAAAAGGAAAAGAGATAACACAATGTGAAACTCAATTTGTTAATTGGCAAAACAAAATTCAACAATAATTATAACAATAGTCTGTAAATTCATTTGTATTTTGCTCATCGACCGGTGGAAAAGACAACCAGATCATTACAGGAAATTTGTGGATGTTCAAATAATACAAAATTATCCATATAATATAGATTTTTCACTATGCATTAAAATGCCATCACTCTTTTGGTGAAATATGACATAATCTTAACCAGAATCCCGTGTGAAATGTGTTCATTTCCTTTACACACTTGGAAAGCCAAGCGGTCCCACTGAAAAAAAAAAAAAGTTGTATGAAGCTTTAGCTGTTATTTGAAAAATAAAGTTGACTTCAGAATAACTGAAAACAGTATATATTTCAAACCTTGGCTGTTGAATAGAACAACTATAACAATCACTGCTTGTGATTGGATGTTAAAAGAGTGTGGCTGGTACGACGGAACTGAAACACTTGTTTCTAAGAAATTCTGCTATGCAAATTGTTTATTGTGATGTGTCATTGAAGTCACACAAAAATATTGGATTATTTCAAGTTAAAAATGGACTGAAATCTAAATTCTGAATCGTTCTGTCACTTCTGAAAGTTGTTGGGGCACAGGGCTGCACATGAACACAGTATAATATGATAAATAAGATTATTCATGAGGATTAAAAAAAGAAAAACTGTTAAATCTGAATCGCCAATGGGTTCATTAACTTTATTAGTTAAAACAATTTCTGGTAAATGCTAAGTAGTCTAGAGGAAAAGCTTCATTTTTCCCCCATAGATGCTTTCTTGCATTATGAAACAGGAGATTTTTCCTAACATTGATGATTATGGGATCTGTTAGGTCCTGACTGTGTGTGGTTAGTCATTTTAAAACTACTTAGCTCCATTACGGTATAAAAAATGTGTTTAGTGTTTGAACCTACATCATAACAGAGCACTTATCTGCAATGTTTTATACCTTGGAGGCCATGATGAACAGGATCTCCTAATGAAAAAGAAAAGGAATAACATGATGTGAAGCTGCCGTTGTTTTCCAGTGTGTCAGAAAAAGTTTTTTTAGTCAAACTGACCACTGAAAGAACTTTAACATGATATGCCACATTCTCTCTCTCTCTCTCTCTCTCTCTCTCTCTCTCTCTCTCTCTCACACACACACACGCACACACACACACACACACACACACACACCAGTGGATGACACCACATCTCTTCATGTATCATTATACTGGGACATTTTTATTTTATTCTAATAATGATATCTGTTAGGTAGTGTTAGACACTCATTTTAAAACTGATAAACCCTGTGACAATATGAATATTTTTAACCAACATTGTATCAGAGCACTTATTTGTAATGTCTCTTACCTTGAGGATGTCCAGAGGAGAAATACCGAAATCCTATTCAGAAAAGAAAAGAGATAACACAATGTGAAACTCAAGTTGTTAATTGACAAAACAAAATTCAACAATAATGATAACAATAGTCTGTAAATTCATTTGTATTTTCCTCATCGACTGGTGGAAAAGACAACAAGATCATTACGAGAAATTTGTGGATGTTCAAATAATACAAAATTATCCATATAATATAGATTTTTCACTATGCATTAAAATGCCATCACTATTTTGGTGAAACATGACATAATCTTAACCAGATTATTTGTTTTATTAATTTGTTCATTTTCTTTACACACCTGGAAAGCCAAGTGGTCCCACTGAAAAAAAAAAAAAGTTGTATGAAGCTTTAGCTGTTATTTGAAAAATAAAGTTGACTTCAGAATAACGGCAAACAGTATATATTTCAAACCTTGGCTATTGAATAAAACAACTATAACAATCACTGCTTGTGATTGGATGTTAAAAGAGTGTGGCTGGTACGACGGAACTGAAACACTTGGTTCTAAGAAATTCTGCTATGCAAATTGTTTATTGTGATGTGTCATTGAAGTCACACAAAAACAATATGCTCAGAGGTACCCCAGCTTCATCCAGATATCGCTATGACACGTCTTGCATTTGTACGGTTAAGATAAGCATTTCAAACCAAAAGGCAAAATTCTGGTCATTGTGTCTATTGTAAAACTGAATTTGAATAAAATGAAAGAATTGTATTGTGAAGAATGACATGATAGTTTACAAGATGTGTGTGCATATGAAAGATGTTCATATGATACATTTTAACTTCTCTCATCTTTCTGCTGCTATAACAAGGATATACATTATCTTTGGTTAACGGTAAATAATATGGCACCATTATTTCTTGCGTGAACATGTCTAACTGAATGTCTAGATTCATATACACCCAGAAAGACATAGCAGGGGAAGACATGTAGAAACCCATAGAATATCCTTGTTTTACTCAGTTTCTTTACTCACTTCTTTGCCCACTTGTTTGTAAATGTGTGCCAGATGCACCAGCAATCCTGCGTCCGGTGTGTTTCAATTGAGGGACTTCACCCTCCTTGGGTTTGTTAAGGACATCTGTGCTCTCGCCTTGGGGTTTGGTGACCACCATGGATGTATGCGGGGTCACAAAGTTGTATTTCAAAGATAGGTCCAAGGCTTCTTTCTTTACTTTCTCTTGCTCTGATCCAGATAACAGCAACCTGTGTCACAAATAGACATGAATTAAAACTTGACTTGTCCTTTTAACAATTATACGTCACATCAGCTTTAGTTCTAGTAAGTCCGATTCATCTGAACTATGAGGATCAGAAGCACTATCCAAACACAAACAAAGAAAATACGGCCGGTATCACTCTTACTCTTTCTCCAGAAGTTGCTTGACTGTGAGGTAGGCCCAAACCCTCTGGATGAGGTCCACAGACACCGTTTCAGTAGAGGTCACCATGGAGGTATTTGTTTGAGAAAATACCACCTTTCTGTCCTTCTGTTATGTCACAAACAAATCGTACCATCAATACAGAATCTCTCTCAGAGATCCCAAAGGATTATGATTGATTGACTGATCCTTACTGAAATAGCCACAACTTGTGGAGTGAAGGTTTCAATGTTGTTGTCAGTGATCTCACCGGCCACTACAATCTCAGAACCATTGTAATACTGACTGAAGTTAGTTTGGGTTAGATTGGTCCCACCAATATAGATCATGGTCACCTCTGTCAACAGAGGGATGGCCACCTCTTCATAAAAACCCTGTTAATACACCGTATGAACACAACACATACGTTAACCTAACATTTAAACATGCTCAGCTAACTCAAGAACATTAGAATAGTGGAGTACCTTCAGTTGTAGATCAGCATCAGAGTCCTGATAAATCCGTCTCGCCACACCACTATTCTGCAGTGACATTTTCTCCAGGAACTCAAAATTGACATCAAACCCAAAGCCAAGACAGTAGAGAGGGAATTTTCCTGCAATGGCTTTTCTTATATTTGACTGTATTTGTTTTTGATTTGTCACTCCTGAAAGGACACAAAACGCTAGTTAAATTCAGTTTTGTGTCTGTATTACCATTGAAAGTTATCACAGTTAACACAACTAACAAATGTGATCAAAGTGATGCTTTGTTGAGGGCTTTTTTATCCAGCTGTCCGTGAGTGCAAATTAATTGTACAATTGTACAAGGTTTAATTCCTTAAGCAGAAATTTTGAAAAAATGCAGTTGAATCTCTTTGAGTCTTTTGATAAATACTTGTCCCAATGTGTGGCTGATTTGTGTTTTCTGATAACCTGAAGTTGGGTCTCCATCTGTGAGAAGTATAAGAATAGATGCTGAACCCTCCCTGGGATTTGCATTCAGTATGCGTGCTCCTTCCAGCACCGCTGCATTAATGTTTGTTGCTGAAATTGAAAAAACAAAAAATTATTTTGATAATATAATAAGTATAAGTCCAGAATAAATGTTTTCTGGAAATCTCACATCCTCTGCTTTGAATGTTCTCGGCAAAATTCTTGGCTCCTTGTAAATTATCACTGGTGGCCTGGACAAGTTCTTGTTTCCAGTGGAAAATGTCATGGTCAAAAGTGATTAGACCAAAGAAGTCATCCTCTTCTAAGTCGTTCAAGATGTGGCCTAAAGCTGTTTTTGTCTGTCGGAAAAATGTTCACAAAATCCTGTAAGAAACCATATATTTGTATTCTTGTACAGAAGTAAAAACATTTTTATTACTTTACCTGCTCAATTTTTATACCCCTCATTGAACCACTTTGATCAATAACGAAGACAACATTTTTTGGTATTCTTTGAAGATCAGTAGGGGCAAAGTGATGGACAAAATACCCATCTGATTTCTGTTAAGAGAGAATTATTGGTCCAATAAATAACCAATGAAGACAAAGATCAAATCTAGAATTCATCCATTTAAGTTCGTGTAACTTGAGCTTTATTTGTGTATGCAAATATAAAACTAATAGCTCTCATGAAATCAACTGTACCACCTTGAGGTCTCCGATTCCAGAGTCTCTCTTGACTTCATAGGCAATGATCAGATCTCCATTCATACCATGTTCTCCACAGCTGTCACAGGTTTTCTGTTGGTCCGCGGTTGGATAGAAATACACCCATGCCTGGAAACCAAATGTCACAGAACCGTGACAAACACAGAGTTATTGATTTTATAACTTTGTCCAAACTAGCTTTGGTGGGTAAATATCAGGATTAAAGGATCTGTTGATTAGGCCAAAATACTGTTTGAGTAGCTTTTAATGGAAAAGATAGACATTTACATGCGTGTAATAAACTCTTCATAGGACCCTTTTGAAACTGCATCAATACTAAATACTAAAATACTTTTGCGTAAAGTAGGAAAGGAAAAATGTATTTAGTTTGATTATTTTTTGGTAAATGTTGACAAAAAGAAATAAAGATGGTCATAACAGTCACTGTGTTTTAGTCATTGTCTTGTGTATGATTACTTCTTTTTTTTAAATTTGCATATAACTTTCAGACACTGATGAGCTATAAAAACTGTTTTTAAAGAATACATTTCTCTGAATTTTTTTTCTATTGTTTTGAGTTTTGAGCTTAAATTTTTGGCAATTGAAATGGCAATTCAACATAAATAAAGAAGAGCAGAGCATCTTTGCATGATTCACCTGTTTGTCTAAAACGGTTTTGGTGATGGCATTAGCCAAGTCTTTGGTGCTCAGACCTCCTTTCACATCGATGAAACTGATGCCAGAGTTCTCGTGGATGTACACGTCAATCTGGCAGAAAAATAGAGAGTGCTTACAAAGAGAGTTTTCGTCGGCCTAATACAGTTTTACGGGATAATAAACATACCTTGAAGTCTTTGACGGGCTGCATGGGTCTAGCATGAATTTGCAGCTCATATTTGCCATGTGTGCGTTTCAATAATTCCTCATATGTGAGTTCAAAGGTCACCTTTTTGTGAGCAGCCACAGTTACAGATGTCTTAAATTCCTCCAGGGTTCGCCCAACAGAGCTACAACATAATTCCATCAGTGCAGAAATATAATAATATAATATAATATAATATAATATAATATAATATAATATAATATAATATAATATAATATAATATAATATAATATAATATAATATAATATAATATAATATAATATACCTGACAATCCCAGCACTTTGGCCACTGGACACAGCCTCTGTGTACTGCTGTTGAGCTTGCTCCTTTGTTTTTACCACACCATCGTACACCTGATCATCCATAAACCTGGGAAAAGAGCCTTTACTGAAATCTTGAATCACATTTGATTCCTTCTTAATAGTAGATATCACTTTTAGATTTCAATATATTCATTTTCTTTCACACACATTCTGAATTTACTGATGAAGGCATTCTTAGGAATCTGAACATGAAATTCAATTTCCTTTGACTCATCCATCCGATTGACCACACGGCTTGTGATGACCGTAGTGGCATAACGACTGGTCACAGTGGAGTTGATGTGAAAGCTGTAGATGTCCCAGTCCTCCTGTAAAATTACGGGAAGCTCGTTTAAACAACAACAAAAAAAGACTGAATCAATCTCACTAGCTGATGACCGACTGACCAAAGATCAGAAAAAGTTTTGTTGGCAACTGAAATCTCATTGGTGTAACCTCAGACACTCCCCATTTTTCTGAAATTTTTCAGGCAAAAATTAACTTTCCATTTAGCAGGGCATACCTTTGTACACATTTCTGCCATATATTCCAGTGCCTGTTTAATCCACATAATCAATGTGGCATTTTAAGGTATGGACAGCCTAAACATCCTCACTAGATGAAAACTCCAATTTAAATAAACATTAGAAATAAATGCAAAAAATGAAATAATGATGAACACTGCATTAGACATATGAGTGTTTTAGCCAATCAATTTATTTGTGTGCCGCACAATAGATCTGACATAATTTCAGGTGCTAAACCTTTTCCAGTTGAGAAATATGCTCAACCATGCAGTTGGGTCAGATTTTTTTTCTGAAATGTGGATAGTAAAACTAATGATTAAAGCAATATTGACTTAATCTAAAATGTGTGGTCTGTGTTTCAGGTCTTTGTCCATTATGTATTGAAATACTTTTTTTTTCTACCTAAATTCTGTAAATCCACACATTGTCTCTGTTGCATTAAAAGTCTGAAGAAATATGTTGAAGTATTGATTTATCCTCAGAAAAACTATTTGTTTAAGAGGACTTTGATCTTGTACGTAACCTGATGGATGTCCTTGTCTAGTACACTATCCAACTGCACTTTTTATAATGAGTGAAGTTCAATGGTTTTCTCTTGTTGTTACTTTCTAAATGGGTAATATAAAGACACGCAGGCACCCATAAAGTCATTAATTGTATGAATCAACTCCAGAAAACCACCCAGTAGGTGGACATCCTGTAGGTCCATCAACCGACCCTTTTTGTTTATCAGAGCCAAAGTTCAGTGTGTTGCAATTAGCAGCATGACGACAAATGTCCATTTTCACATACTTTACGTGAAATTGGTTCCTGATTAACAGTTTCACTAAAAAAAGGATCTGATGGCTTGCTGTTTGGCCCTCAGTCTTTTTTGTTGTGTAGCCATACCTTCTTTGTGAGTGTGGGAGCTGAAGCCAGCAGAAGCCCGAGGATGGTGAGCTGCAGCACAGTTCTCCCCATGATGCCTCAGACCAGACTGCAACTCAGCCGCCTGAAATTGTCTGTTAAACTCCAGCAAAGTCAGCAAATCCTATCCTATTTGCACTCTCCACCTCTTTTAGCAGTCACTTAGACAAATAACACACGCATATACGCCCCCCCCCGGCCGCCCCCGCCCCTAGGCCATAAAAAAAAGAAAAAATAGTAGACATTCACTACAACTTAGCTTTATATACCAGCTTCTGTTGAAAGTATGTGCACAGCTTTGTAAGGATTTAGTAACCACACTGATCATGAAAAAAGGCAGAGCTAGTTAAAAATTCTAACCAACAGTTTGAGATAATTGCTCAAACAATACAGTAATAATCACTATTGTTTTCCTGTTTTCACTTTTTTTTCCTGTTTTCACTATTGTTCTCCTGTTTCTTCCTCTCATTGAAATGAAAGGAGGGGCTTTCAAATCCTTTAAAAACTCTGACCTACTTCAGCCGATTTCCAAATATCACAATTGTAAAATCATTCAAATATTACTTCCTTCAAATTTTTACAATGTAATTCCTATTGAAGCATGTTAGAGTGGGAGACCAGAGGGGTCATGTGACCATAGATTTTTCAGCCTCAAAAATCTTCAAACTCCTTCAGATCACTTCCACATCCTTCAACATTCATATGCAAAGTATACCTTAAGACGCAGGAAACTTGGGCCTCTTTCAGCTAATGTAATGTCTATTAAATCATTGAATGAATCAAGCTATACTAACTGTGATTTGTTTGGATAGATTAGCGGAGGGTGAGTGTGAACAGTTTTTGGCAAAAATACATCAAATAACCTTATTTTGTGAGTATGATGAATGGGATATAGCTTCTGTGTAATGACATGATGTGAATGCAATATAAAAAGCATCCAAAGCAATTTTGGTAGAATATTTATTGAACAGCTGCTATTTCAGTGCTGCTGACCCACATCACAGCTTGGTGTAAGTGTGGTCATTTTTCCCCCTTACAATTTCATTGCTGCACCTTTCCTTGTCCCCATGACGTTTTCCAACAACGCCAACGGAAAATGCTTAGGAAAAGGATCATAGGAAATCTTTTTTTTTCTATTCAAGCGTACCCTTTGTGTGGCCAGAATCTCTAAACCTAATTGAAAATACCTCCGATATTTGTACAGTTAACGTGTCAAGCAGACATGGCTTCTTGATGATTCTCATTCTTCACATTCCTCATCAGTATCATATCATCAGTCTTCATCAAGCCACAACCAACCACACAGTAGTCACTCAAAACCCACAAAGGCAACAATAAATAAAGCTACAGATTGCATTAGTAGAGATATGGGATGAAATGTTTCTTCAAGCCTCCTTGTCACTTAATTTCAGTGCTGACATCCTCCCAACCCTTTCACATCAACCTGTGCACATTCAGAATATCAACGTATCCATGCAGGCCGTGGTGCAGGTGGTGGAGTGACCAGGAATATGATTTAAGTGAACAAGGAAAAGCTTATAGTAAATGTTTAACCTAATTCACTAATGGACTATTTTCTTTACAGTCTCTTACTACTTTGTCGAGTTATAATTAGTTGCTTATTGATGTCTTTCTCCACATTCATTGTTCATAATAAATCACTAATATGTACAGTATCTCTTGTATGCATTGAGAGTAAATGCATTTCTTCAGAAAACTGCAATTCAAGGCACTCTCACAGGTGCTTTTGCTATGCTTTTTTTTTTTTTTTTTGCACACCTGAAGATAAAGTTCATGTTCGTTCAAATCTCATAAGATATTTGAAGTGCTTGGGCTGGAAGCATTTCACTGATGAAGAGTGCAACCTACAACTTGACTGAGCAGAGAAATCCGAGTTAAGAAGCAGTGTCCTAGTGACCAGCAGGCCAAGTCTTCACAGTGATGGCATGATGGTTTCTGATCGATCAGATGTTGCAAGAAGACATAAAGCAGCAGCACCAACCTATGGGTCATCTAATGTTGACTGTACAAACACAGTTGCTCTGTACAGACTAACAAGTAGTCATGTATACACACAGCAGCTTACAATATATAGGGGTGACATGAGTAACACAAACATTGACTATTTCATATAAACACAACATGAATGCAGAGTACATTATGTACATTCAGCCGGTAGTAAAGCACATCCATAAGCAAATATGAAAATCTGCACTTTAAAGCCTGAATGGGCTAATTAATAAACCTCCTACCTTCAGACTGCATTTTTAACTATAATATGGACATGAGGTATGTCAACACAAATTCAACAAGAATGGCCATGAGTATGTACATATGGTTACATACATGCTGGTTAAATATATACACTTTATGCACAAAAGATTTATTAGAAGTATGATAAGAAAGGTTTTTGGTAACAGAGTTGGAAGACACAATGCTACTTGGATTACAGAGTCCTCGCCTTGGGGTCGGTCAGCTGATGGAGTGACACTGGATTTGGGTTGTTGGCATCCTGGCCTGGGGTCACAGCAGGAAAGGAAAATACTCCTGGAGTGATGGGGAAGATAAACCCAGGCCACGGGGTAAAGGAGAGAGGAGAAGACAATGCTCTGAACGGAGCAGGAGAGTGGAGCTGATAGGTATAATGCGGTGCTGGAGGGGGGGTAGTCGTCACTGTTGCCCCAGGGCTGTCAGGCCATGACTGGGGCAGAGTGCAAACCTCTGGACTTGGGCCTGACCATGATGATGCCTGAAAAAGTTCAATAAAAAAGTTATTATCTCAGCCTTATATGTATTCCGAGTAGACCAATGACAACTACAAATCTTGGGACTGAGAGATTTTATCTACTTTTAAAAAACATGTTTCTTTAAACACAAGGACAGCATTGAGAATACATAAAATGTGTGGACAGTGCTTGTTTGCTATTGGGCTGCACTGCACCTTTGAGCAACATTCTGTGAGCTATTTGAAGGTGTAAGATGAAATATAGATCATATTTTATAGTCTTCAGCAGTTTAGTGGCTTGTTTTTGTTGTATTTTCCATCTTAGTATGAGGCAATGTTTTTTTGGGGGGAGTGTCCAGTCTGGACTGCAGCCCGGGCAAAACTATCAAGTAGCCGAGCGGCAGTTGTGCTGAAAACTGAAAAATAATAAATATGAAATGTCATTTTCAGACTGAATTCAATCGTATATTCTAGGAGAAGTGTTACTTACATCTGAAGCACCAGCATGCTGCTCGGGCATTGGAGGAACAAACTGATCCCAAATTTGCTGTCCACGGATACTCAAAGAGTTGGTCCGTGGTCGGTGGGTGACAATCAGAACCTCTTGTGCCCAGTCGTCCATCAGTCGTTGGAAGTCTTCAGGCAGATTGTTATCATTGGCACTCATGGATGTGCCACGATATGTGGCTGTTTTGTTGTTGCTGTTGTTGGCCTGAGCTTGGGCCAGGCCCATCACCGGCTGATGTGGAGGAGGTGTGACACCACTTGGCATTTGCTGTGACTGACTGGCAGCTCCTGATGCTGTAGCTCCAGATCCTCAAAAAACACATCACAAACACACAAGATGACACTCCAGATAAGGAAGAACTGGGATGGTTTGATGTTGAGAGACACTGTAATTCTACATACTGCTGCCTCGCTCTTTGCCAAGACACAGTCTCTTCAGTGTTGACCCTGCCAGCAAAAAAAGGACTTAATACAAATTGTTAACCCACTAACCCACAGTAATTTTGAAGTCAGGATGCTGTGCAAATGAAACTAAGTACTGCCACAAAACACAGGAAAAACACTAAAAGCGCATGAGCAAATGGGTTTAAGAAAATCAAACCTCTTCAACATGAAAATGGATGTATAATAAACATCATGCAGGTGGCCAGAGCAGACCCTTGTCAGTATGCATTTCTAGAATGTTAGAATCAAAAATAGGAAACGGCAGTGAGAGGTGAAAAAGTAAATAATAGTCAGAGACCGAGATGCATTTGCCATGCGCAGGCCTGTTCACAAGTAAATCACTAAGGCAGACTGAATGTCAGTAGGGGGATAGCTCAAATAAATGTCCATTGTTATTAAACTGAATCTTGATTATTCAAACCTCCAATTTGATCAAAAATGGCAATGGGTAAAAAATAAAGTAACAAAATTGTTCTTTGCGTTGCTATCTTTAATTGGTGTATTTGTTCATCTCATTTGAGATAAGGGTTTCCAGATCATCTCCAAAATAAAGATCATATCTTAACCATAGAATAATTGAGGACAGTTTCAGAATGACAGCTGAGAGATTTGAATAAGCAATTTATGTCAATGATGAAAGGATAAAGCATGAAGGCAAGTATTGAAGATAAGACAAGGCAAAAGAAAGTAGTCCGGAGGGTTGTCCAGAAAGTGCAGAATAGTTTGGCAAAGACAAAAAAACACTGAAGCCGATCAATAGAAAATATCATAAAAACAAAAATGTGAAGCTATGCGGGAAGAGAAGAGATACAAACAGATAGACAAAGACACAGGCCCACTGAGAAATCTAGCTCGTGGCTTGCTACTGGATTTATAGGTCACTCTCTCTGAGGGTTGTGGGTAATTAGACCAGCCTGTAGAGGGGAATAACCAAGGGAAGAAGATGACAGTAAGAAGAACTCACACATGGATACCCAGAGTCATGTGACAAAACATAACTAGTGTCTGTTCTTTGGTATAACTTAAAACAGACCTTTACATCAATGTTCTGGTAAGAGTTACAGGCAGTACCTTGTCCAGGTGGAATTTGTGGACTGGTGCTGTCTCCACGTAGTCCGGCATAAATATTGTCAGAGGACAGAGAGCCTTTGAGGGAACAGGGCTGCTGAGTTTGCACTGGCTCTGAGGTGGAGCTGGGCAGGTGGCTGGTGCATGAGCGTGCCCTACTGTGAGTGGGAAAAGACGCTTTGGCTGGAGAGCCGTTCAAACTCACTGAGGGCTCAACTGTAGCTGTAGCAGCACCTGGACACACAAGAACAAAACATTATATTACTCTTTTGTCATGCTTAAAATATCATATCAATTGCTCCAGGTTTATAAAAAACAAACTGACTGGATCTGCTGGAGTCACTTGTTTTGGTTGTGACATTTCTAAATTGTTGAACTAGAGGACTGAGAAGCTTTCCTGGCTTCAGTCTGTGCTTGTTGGATCGCTTTCTGCGGCTTGCATGTGGTGCGACATGTGAAAAAGCAAGGCCTGAAGGTGGAGCTTTGCCAAGTCTGCGGTACAGCAGTTCCACTTCCCCTCGCTGGTGGGCCTGCAGCTCCGAGATCTCCCTTAGATGCCTGCAGGAACGGAATAAGGATCTGTGATCACCTACAAACTGGGTGACAAATAATAGAAGATAACAGATGAGGCAGATGGGGTTAACCTTACTTCTCCCTCAGTCTCTGAAGTTCCCTTTTTATATCTGAGTCCTCCATCTCAGAGTCATTGTCACTGCTGGCATAGGTGGAGCCGTGCATTCCTCCATGCCTGCTAGGGGAATCAGAGCTCTGCACGCTGCTGCTTCGACCGGTGCGACGGAGGAAGGCCACTGCCCTCTTCATCAGGTCACTTCCTCTGCGCTCAGAGCGGTGGTGTTTAGATGGAGTGGCAGAGGCCAGCTTTGCCGGGCTGCTCTCCGCTCCAGAGTCGGAGGAGAGGAATCGAGCGTGGACCGTGACGTCCACGGGGACAGAGTTCGAGGTCAAAGCTCGAGGCAAGGATCCCCGCTTGGCCATGGAGGGGGGGGTGTCCAGGTAGAAGTCAGGTGGGGCAGAGTAGCGGCTGCAACGTGTCCTCTGTGTAATGTCGTCCTCGGTGCTCACGACGGAGAAACGGCCGATGGTGGTGGGGGTCACGGCGGTGTCGGCCTGGGCGTGGTCGGCGCTGTATTCCACAGGATGGGCCGGCGAGGCAGCGCTGCTCCAGCTCCTCTGCTTCACATCTCGCCTGCTGGCTAACTCAGGGGGGCCAGACATGATCTGCCAAAAAATGACTTCAGAGTTTAATTCAACTTAAATATTAGATTTCTTTTAAATGTAAACCTTATATTATAATATTTTTAAATAATCTAAGTGAGCATTCAATCAACTTGCTTCTAAAAGTTGCAATTTCCAACGTAAACAAAGCGTATAAATCAAAACGTATGACAAAGCTTGACAATGGCTGTAACAACTAAAAAAGGGAAATTGGCTGTTTGAAAAACAAAAAGTTGCAGTGGGGGGATATAATTGGTTGAAATAACATGGAGTTTCATCATCCACGTACCTTAAACCGACCCCTTGTTCCAGAGCAGGAAACAGAGTGAGGAACGTGTCCTCTTGACAAGGAAGCTGCAGAGACATTAAGAAAATGATCCTAACACTAATAAACTCACAACTAAAATGTGTGGAAGAGAGACAATCCCACTGGTGTCAGACTGATAAATGAATGCTGTTGTGCACATACTCACCACACACAGCTGAGTCACTCAGGGTGCTCAAACTATCCATTCTCTCCGGAATTTGAGGCTGATGTAGGTGAAAGAAGAGGATTTTAAAAAGAAAGAATTTAAAAAATATTATAACAACCAATGAACAATTTATCCAACATTTAGCTAAATTCAAAGATTCTCAAATCTTAGTGTTACTTAGCCACATGATAACTGAAACCCTAAATGACATGGCAGTCTGTAATTTGTTACATACCAGCTGTTCTCCTGCCCTGTAGCGTCCTTCTCCCATTGGACCTGGAGTGCTGTTTCCCGAACCCACCATGGCGCTGTCTGGACCAGGAGGTGACTGGATGTACTCTGTGCAAGATCCTGGAGTCTCCGCGGCGCTACCTGACGGATACATGGGGGCATACTCCTGGTAGAGCAAATTCCGAAGTTTTTCATCCAAAGTCTTAATAGTGCTGTCAACGAAGCCCCCGCGGCCCAGCCGCCCTTCACCATCGGACTCACTGGGCCCCACACCATGTTGGGATGGTGCTGGGCTCTGCGGTAGGGAGGACACTTTGGCCCCTCCCACAGTAGAAAAAGGCTGTTGGAGCACCACGGGCTGCTGTGTCCGCTCGCTGTGTGTCGCTGGAGCATAGGAAACAGAGGGCGGCTCTTTGGATGTTCCCACTTCCTGGGGGGGAAGAGGAGTGAGAGGAGACCCGGTCTGTGAGGTGCCAACATCCAGAGACAGGGGCATGACGAGAGGACAGCAGGGCACCTCATCAGCGATAGATACAGGACGTGTCATGTCAGGCATCTGCTGAGCTGCATGAGTGGGGGAAATGGAGCCCAGAGGGGATCCTTGGGAGTCCTCCAATGGAAAAGATGTATGGGAGGGTGATGGGGGCAGCCCTTGAACTCTGGTTGTTTGGGCTTGGTGCAAACTTGGCTGCACTGAGCCGCCTCCATGTTCCACCGTCGACACTGACTGTAAAGTTGGGGGTGCAGATACAGGAGGTGACAAATTGGCCAAGAGGAGTGGGTCTGTGTTAGACGTTATGGGGGGACTGCAGAATCCGTAAACATCATAGGAGAATCCTCCACTACCACCAGACATTGTGGAGGATGATCCCTCTTCTGAAAAAAAAGCAAAGATAATATGAGAATATTGTAAAGCTATTGTACGTCCCTACATAGCTGCATGTGTATTCTATTCAGCCGCCACGAGGCTGTGCTATTGTTCCATCCAGCTGACAGAAATTATGCTGACGTTTTTCCTGCAGGACTCACCTCTGGAGGGCCTTGCAGTGACACTGTCAGCAGGTTGGGTATTGGCCGAGCTCCCAGGTGACTGTGTCGCCGTCCCATCTGAGGGAGTGTCCTGACTGGATGTGGGAGTTTCCTCCACTGGACAGATTATGAACCATCTCTTTCCTGTATGAAGAACTGCAAACCAAGAGTTAAAAAAACAGAAAAGAAAAAAGAAACTACTTTACGAACAGAGACAGGAACACATTTGGTGAAAGAGAATATTGTCTTACCATTTTGCTGATAGACAGCCTGGGGTGCTCCAGGCAGCTGACTCTGCAGAGAGATTACATTTACGTGAAGGCACACACAGGGTATCTGCACAGATCCTGAATTGTCTCTTACCTCTCCTACCAATCCCTCAGATGTCTGGCCTTGTAGAGGACTACAGCTTAAAGCTGTGTGACTTTCATCCTCCATGTCTTCGTGCAGCATATCTTCAGCTTTGTCCACAATGTCCTTCAGTTGGTCAATGAAGATCTCCTTCTCTAACAGCAGGATGAAGCCATTCTCGACCTATTGACATTTAGGTGTTTGGGAATGCCACAAATATTCCAAACATCAAGTCGAAATTCCAAAAGGATGAACTCACCATGTAAGTGGCGATTTCCTCTGGAGCATCTCCATCCAGATCAAATTTGAATGTCACCATTTTATGGTTGTGAGTCTCCAGCTGGCATTCTACCATTTTGTCACCAGTGTTGCAAACCTGTGGTGGTGTAGGGGGGTAGACTTCAATCAGAAAACTTAAAGAATTTTAGGACGTTTTTTATGTCACTAATGAATTAAACAGTTACTAATTGACTCACATTGAGCATGCTCAGTTTGGGTTTGCTGGCCTTTTCTTGTCTGGAGCGTGTGCGAGCAGACTTGCGGTGGTGTTTCCTGGGTTTTCCATCCACTTTGCTGCCACTTGCAAAGCTTTCATAGCCGTCACTTGTTTCCTTTCCTGATGCTACATCAGAGTTGAGACTGGAGCAAAATAATAAGAAACATTTATCATCTCTAGGAAGTTGCTACATTGTCATGGTACAAAATTGAGAAACAGAAGAAAAAATAAAAAGAATTTGTAAAGTCAGAAAAACTAGGCACACACCTGTCATAAGCGAAACTGGAAAGTGAGATCGGTTTGTCATAATAAACATCCTGAAAGAATAGAAATTGATCAATGAAAAACAATTAGAGGCCTACAGTAGATGTTTGTTGGAATTTGCTTTACAGTATTCTCTCTGTGCTGTTTTTTCCTAGGTATTTGCATATTTGCATCAATACCCCCCCCAAAAAAATAGCTTGGCTCTGTTCCCACCTCTGCGCAGGGCTCTTGTTGAAAGAAGCTAGAGGCACATGTTGTCTCTAGGTGTGGCTGAGTTGTGGCCAGGCCGACACACTCAAGCGCTGAGGCTGTTGTTTGGATGCCAGCAGGCTGCAGAACTGGAGCTGTGACTGAAGCTGCAGGTTGAGGTGGTGCTGGCACCGTGACATGCATCGGGCCCGAAACCATTACTGGAGTGGAGACTTGGGATTTTCCAGTGGCTGATGATCTGTCTGAGCTTACAGAAGAGACCATTGTTAGCTCTACTGTGAAACCCGATTTAGATTTAAGTGGGGTTGAAACTGAAGCTTGCGCTGTTGTTGGTGCTTGAACTGAGATCGAAGTTGGGGCTTTAGGAATTGTTGAGACTTGAGTTTGAGGTTCTGCTGTAGCTTGAGTCGAGAATGGGACAGGTGGTTGGTTTTGTGCTCGCACCAAAGTTGTAGTTTGTGCTGTGGTGTGAGTTTCAACTTGAACAGTGGCTGGGACTGAGGTTAAGACTGAGGCTGGCGGTGAAGTTGTACGAGCTAACGTCAAGTCTGGGCCAGTTGCAGTAGTTTCAGCATCCGCTCCACTTCCCCAGAAGGGAGCATGGCCGGCAGGCATGACAGGGGGAACCGCTGGCAAAAGGTGAATATCTCCCAGAGTTCCACGTGGGGTAATCATCTGTAACAGGAAATAAAGAAACAACACATTCAAGTTGATTCCTACCAGTTTAACTTCTGTCCTCTGAGTCTCAAAACACATGCCCGGCATGCATCACACCAACAGTACGGACGCATTGCCACCTCAGCATTACAGACTTCTCAAGACTGAATGATTCCAGCGAAAACTGAGTAAATATTCACCTGGACAGGTTGTTCAGTCAATTCCTGCTCAGGGTTGGGGGCGGGGAAAGGGGTGGGTTGCACCTGAGAGAGAGGTAGGGGATGGGTGGAATGGAAGCTACCAAGGTTTGACTGTGATCTGGAAAGACCACCCTGCTGTTGTGGTGCTGCAGGGGAGAAGGACATGGCCAGAAGTGGAACCGGGAGTGCCATGTTGGGCACATGCTGAGGTGTGGATAGGGGAGTCTGGGGTGTGCCAAGTGAAGGTACAGAAGGCATGACAGCGTGAAGGGTGAGAGGGAGGGAGGGAAAGTGGAGTGACGGTGAGTAGTAAGAGCTACAAATAGGAGGGTCACTGCTGCTGTAAGTGGACGGCAGGGGAGTTGGGGAGAATTTAGGGGGCATGTGAGCCACTGTTTGAACAACATGATATGGTGAGGGAAACTGGGAAAGAAAAGGGGAAAATGGAATAAAATGAACAAAGACAGCCATTCCATTGATACGCCATTCACACAGGCCCCTGGTGCATTACTCAACCCTGCAGCATTTTAGTATCTTTTAACCTAATAGCAGTTTATTCTTATCTGTGAAATACTACCATAACATACCTGTGTGCTGACCTGCAGAGGCAGAAGAGGGGACGGAGCACTGGAGACTGATGATGGAAAACTGGCACACACATCAGGGGGACTCAAGTGGGATGCATTCTGGTCAGCAGATAACAACTGTGGAAGGATGTAAGAGACATGTTAGTTTAACTTTGAGAGGATGCATTGTTTTGATGACAAAAAATGGGCTGGTTAGCTCAGCTGGTCAGAGTGTGGTTCTAATAATGCCAATTGCATGGGTTAAAGCCCCATACTGGCCCCTTCTCTATAGGTTTAGATATGAGTGTGTTGAACATGTCTAATCTTGCATGAAAATAGTTTTAGTGGGGGTTTAGTATAGTGGTCAGTGCCCCTGGCTGTCACATGGGAGACTGGGGATTCAATTCTCCATTGGGGAGATACACATGTATATATTCTACTTTGTTAGTTGCTTTGGATAAAAGCGTCTATTAAATGCATAAACATACAATTCCATCTAAATTCCAAGTTGATTGACCAGATATGTGGTTCAAAATGTTCCGACATAAAACATGTGAGCTTCTTGTAAGATCCACTTGACAACTCTAACAATGTGGTTTGAAGTGTGCGGCTACCTGGTGCGGGACAGCAGCCGGTTGGAGGTGCCGCTAAAGGCAGGAAAGACAGCGGAAAGGAGAAATAACTATCATACACAGAGATTCACATGCACACAGGTAAGTACAAATGGAGTATACCCTCCATACTGATCAGTCACAACACTGACGAGTTAAGTAGGCAACAATAATAAATTCACTGTTCTATAGTGAATGCTGAATATGTTTTTGCATGTTCGAGTGATTGAGGTAAAATGTGCATCATGCACACAGAAATCACACAATCCGAACTTGCCAAATCAAAAAAACGTTCTGTGAGAATTCTCTCTATAAAAAATGGTTGGGGTGCTAATTATTGGTTGGGATGCTGTTCCCGTGACCCCTATGGGAATAAGCGGTATAGTAAATGGATGGACATTTTTGGACCTGGAATACACCTTACAAAGTATTCAAATCTTTTTTGGTTTGCAAATTTTAGTTTGTTGACAATGGTCATTCCGAACTATTTACATGTAAATTAGAGAGGCCTGCCTTTTTAAAGCATGAAGTACCTGCTCTTGGCTTGGCTGGGCAGTAAGCTGTGTTTGGAGAGGGGGGGCTGCGGCAGGGAAGCTCTGTGCTGTCTGTTTACTCTGGTGCGCTGTAGGCACTGGGGTAGCTGGGGCGGAAACAGTCTGTCAAAGACACAGGATGAAAACCTGTTTTGAAGGCAGAATCTGACTGTCTGTATCTGACACAGCAAATGAAGCAGAAGATTTGGTTTTTCAAAGCAGGGGGGAGTCACTAATGAAAAAGCACAGAGGGATATTTTAGTGTTTGGTTGTGGTTCTTCATGGGAATTTAGACAAAAGGGAGTACCAAGATTAATCTGCATCTAACATCCAAGCAACTTGTTCATAGCAAGAAACTGTATTAGTGAAGCATATTGATCTAGAAATGGAACCATTAGTGTGAGCAAAGCAGGAGCGGAGACCAGCTGTGAAAAGGAAGGAGGATAATTAAAGATAATGCAAGCTGCTGCCGCTACGATGGTTGTGGTTTACATGAGCTCGTTTTTCTCTAACCTACCAGTTGATCTGATCTGCCTTCACTGTGGACTGGTGACAACAGCAGGTTCATGTCATGATTTGGGATACACCAGAAAGGGACATCCAGGCTCTGACTTTTATCTACACGCTCATTTGCAGAGAAACTGGAGCCACCAATCTCACCGAGGCTGTGCACTGGACGATTAACTCCTCCTCCTCTATCTGAGAGGGTGGGGGAGCTGGTCCTGCGACTGACAATGTGATGGAGGCAGTAGTTGAGAAGGCTAAGATCTCCACCTTCATACAAACCCCTTGGAAAGCCAATTTGTGAGGGGGAGGATGGGTGAGAGGGTGAAGTTCCCATAGCCGGCTCACTGTTTGGTGTTGGACTTGAAGGTGAGGCCAAAGGAGAAAGCAGAGTGGCCGGGGAAGACCTTGTAAGATGAGGAGATGTGGGTAAACTTGGAGGAGTTTGAGTGGAGAAAGTGCGCCTGTGCGTGTGCCCCAGGGATCCGCCTCCCTTTGTCCTGTCCTTCAGTAGGAGAGACATGCAAGCTCTGCAGTGGTGGCGGTGAGGCTGTGGGCTGTGTGGCACATTCAGACGGTGCTCTGAGGGACATTGTAAATTCAGAGGAAGGTGATGTGAATTTGAATGTCTAGCTGAGTCATAAAGAGTGTGCTGATGTGCTGGCAAGGAAGGGGACAGTAATGAGGGATTCTGGACGGTGTTAATGTTGGGGTAATCTGCAGCATGCGGTGGACTGTCTGAGCTGTGTGGTGAGTCCATATCCTGTAACGGACACAGGAAGCGATTCATTGTCCTAGAGAGAGAGTGCGTCCTACACTGTAACATCTCAACCAAGGAGGCGCTGCCACGTCTAAGACACATTGCGCTCTGAGTGATGAGGGGGCTCTCATGGCATAGAAATGGATCACTGTTGTGACGCTGATCGAGTGACATTCCAAAAAAGAAAATAAAAAATAAGTTATTGTAGAAAACAAGTCAGAAATAAAGCTGCTGTAAACACACAACTGCATGTACTCACTGTTTGACACTGATAAGGCCCCTGGTGCAGCGGTGCTGGGGCTTGTTGAAAGGCCCCAGGATGCAGCTGACCTGTGGTTTGCTGGTAGGCTCCCTGGTGTAATTGTGTGGATGCTTGTGAGTAGTTTTCGTGAGAGGCCTGTGCTGTAGATTGCTGGTAAGCTCCCCGTGGCAGCTGGGGGTCAAACTGCGCAGGAGGGCTGCAGACAATCTGAGCTGTAGAAATGGGCTCTGGAGGCGACTGGTAGGTGTCATTCTGCTGATTGTTTATATCATCTAACTGCATGGTAGAGCTCACTCCGCTGTCGGCTGTAAAAACAGAGCAAGTAAAACACAATAATTCACAATGATTTTCTCTGCAGGAAGCTGAGCCAGGACAGTGTGAGAAGGAACCTTCTCACAAGCCTTTAATAGGTGGTTAAACACTGAGTCATGGTGTCTCTGTTTCAATTTGGTACTCAGATGCTGTGTTTTCTTTTTGTCTTCATCACTTTTTACTGCACAAGCACTAAAATGAACATTTTAAGACAGTCTATGTCTTTGAACTACATAGACAGAAAAAGTTAGTGCTGTTTATGTTTGTTTACTTTTAGTTTCTTACATGTGGCAGATGTAGTGACAGGGACAGTGCAGATAAGAGTCTCTAGGTCTTCATAATCTGCAGTGGCCTGAATGGTTCCCTGTGGCACGCCAGTCCCCGGCACCTGCAGCAGATTCTGCTGCATCTTCTTCATGCCTCCCTCACTATTTCCATTTGTAGAGGCCATCCGCTCCCTCCTCCATTTGATTAGAGCTACGCGGTCTCTGATAGATTTTCCAACTATCTTCACATCACACTCCAGGAAGAATCCTGATTCCACCTAAAGAGCACAGTTGAGATATTCAGATTAACAATAAAACAAGTCAAAGATGCATTAGATCAACGTGTTGTTCTCCCACAATTTAAAGAGGATAATTTGACCTGCCTGGCCATGCCTCAGGTTTGTAACTACAGGCAGCATGTCATAAACCACTGACTCACATTTACATTAAAAAAGTAAATAAAAATAAAGAAAACTGAATGACCACAACACACATTTGGTTCACGTACAAAAACATTTGTAAAGGAATAACAGGAATGGCCGCTAATATTGAACAAGTTGTCTTGATATTTTGCATCATCCTCTTATTTCAAAGTTACTCCATTACAAATGATTACTTTTAAAAGGCATTAACTGTTTAAAGCTGTCTTTAACAATCCCACCACAAGAGTAAACTAAAGACATACAAAAAGGGGTATACATTGTTGATATGGCTATCTGAAGCGGAGCAAATCTGAGTGACTTCTATTTGTCTGAATGTTTTTACCCATTTAAACTAACACATTTTAGAACTGCTGAGTCATCAGGAGGGCTGGTGCAATGCAACATAGAGGACACAGCAACAAAAGTGCAAAAGTTTTTTGTGTAGGATGCAAGATAGTTAGAGCACAACATAAGGCTTAAGATGTCATGTTGCTCTCAATTCCGTAAATCCTAATGAAAAACAATATCACTATACCGTGAAGTGAGGTGAGTTATTTTCTGTTCTTATCCTAAAACCCAATCTGTCATTCTGTCGTTGTTCTCATTATTACCATTTCTTGGGCTACTACTTCAGGGATTTCGTTCACCAAGTCAAAGGTAAACTCAATGGCACCAGTGTCTTTGTATTTCCCCTTCAGCTTTTTAGGGTCTTCAACCCACAGCTTTAGAGCAATGGTTGATTTTCTTCCATCATCCTCTTCATTAAGTTCCACCCTCACGCCTGTGTCCTCTGCGAAGTAGGCGTGATTCAGGAGGTCCTTAATGGAGTATCTGCACGAATGCAAAAACACCAGCTAATGGTCTGAACAATAACCCACAGCACAAAGTAAGATGAGAACCAAATACTGGTATTAACGTCAGTGTGCAGGAGCAAAAACAAAACAATGCAACTTTGGGATGAGGGTCAAACTATGTTAGCAGCACAATCCAAGAATCGCTGTTCACTTACCTTTCCTCCCATCTGTGACAGATACACTCCCCAATTATTTCCTTAATTTCTGGATCACTGACTTTACTGTAGCTGGCAGGTTTCACCCCCTGAGAAGCAAAACAGCCTGTTTCAACCAGCCCACTGACAGAGTTACAACAGCACCAGTTACTGTAAGTTAAATCTGCAGTGTCACAAAGAAATTCCTCTCAGATGTTACCACTAGTGTTATTAAAGAGATCTACAAACAGATAACTATACTAGGAATTTGCTTTTCTATTCTTTTTTCTGTTTTTGAGTCAATTTTCTCTCTAAAAGTACTATGATTGTCTGAATATCAACGCGTGAACTCACACTGGTGACTTTGCGGTAGATCTGAGCAGCATTTTGACACTCAGAGTAAGGATATTCTGAAGTGGCCATCTCCAACATACACATCCCAAACGCATAAACATCCACTGCTTCATCATAGTGCTCTTCATACATCTCTGGGGCCATGAACTCCGGAGTTCCTGGAAAATAAATGAAAGGCTAGTCCATGAATTAAGACTACACTAACACACTCAAACACAAATGCACACTGATCAGTCACAACTTTAAAACCAAAGACAGGTAAAGTTAGCTCCATTGCTCATCCTGTAAAACTGCATCCTGTCGGAGAAATTTAAATTTTGTCACTTGCTACCCTTTAACCAACGGTCATTTGATTCTACTGCCCCCAAGTGCCCCAAAAAACTACTACTGTACGATTTTTTTTTTTTTCTAAAGTCATTTTCTGTTTGTCTGGAATCATTAAAACAGTGTGGTGTTGTGTTTGACTTGATGACTGACCAATAACGCTTTTGGCAAAAGAGGCTCTCTTTAACGTTGCCAGGCCCAGGTCTCCAATTTTGACAGAGCCTGTGGGGCCAGTGATGAAGATGTTGTCACACTTGAGGTCTCTGTGAATGATCGGAGGAGTCCTTGTGTGGAGGAAGTGGAGGCCTTTGAGGATCTGTCTGCACCAGCTTCTGAGAACTTTTGGCTTCATGACCTTAAAGCGCTTAAGATACCTAAGAGAAGATAAAACATTACAATCCAAACATTTCAACTCACAGCAAATAAAGTGTTTCTTTTTTGAGTGCATTGAATTTTTAATTACTTTTACAAATTCACAACTTAACCCTTTAATGTCCTGCATAAAGCACATTTGTTTGTGATTATACAGTTTCTAATTAAAAAGATGTGTTCGTAGAACAAGCTAAACCACAAATCATCCATTATGATTACTCTAGTCTTAAACTAATCGACTGATCTAAACTTCTGGAAAAAATACATCCACAGTGTTTTTACGCTACGTTTATTCCGATTTTTTTTTTTTCAATGTTCAATACAAAATATTTTTAACCATATTTTCTTAAAGTGCTACTGAACAATTGTGAAATTTGCTGTCAGTTCTTAAATTGAATTGGGCAGCAATGTCAACACTCACGTTTTCAGAGTCCCTGAAGTCATCAGCTCTGTCACCAGAACAATACACTTCTTCCCTTTCACTGGTGATTCCCAGAAGTCATAAAATCGCACGATGTTTGGGTGCTGGAGAGCCTTCAGCATCTCTGCTTCCTCTTTGAATCTCTGCCTCTCAACTTTGGATAGTTTTCGTTCCTGTAAGCAATAGAGAAAGGCTATTAACTGCTCAAAACCTGCCAATGTTTTTGTCAGTATCAATGCCTTATTCACAGTGAAGGTGCTCTAGTGGTAAATATAACCAAACTGAACAAACAGTTGACAGGTGGCAAAAGACTGTAGCAAGGCTGGAAAATTACCATTAAGTGTTATTTTATGTTCAAGGTCTGATGGCAAAGGTATCTTCCCTCTTGACCTAATTTTAACAGTCTTCTTACCTCTGGACTTAGACTGTATTGCCTTAGGCTTATATTTGGAGTACAAACAGCTCTGGCATTTTGGGTGATAAACAGTGGGGTCGTAGCCACTTACTCTTTTCTTTTGTATCAACATTGTCTAACAAAAATACCTCAGAACCATGACTAAAATCAATACATCTTGCAAAAGAGAGATGGGTGGTCTGTGTCAGACACTTATTCCACAACAGGTAAAAGTTGGTTCCTCTTTTTAATTTGTAATTGGCAAATGTTTTGCCGGCGAATGGTGAAACAAAAAAAATGTTTCACAGCAAGCAGGAAACATTTAGTTTTTTCATGTTTCAAATTTCTTAAATAGATATACAAAGATGACGAAGACAAGCTCTGGCTTTTCATTTGAATTTTTTTTGTATAAGTATGAGTGAATCTGTAGATACTGGATCAATATTTTGGCCCTTGCCTTCCCTGAACTGTTGTATAAATAGTACAGCAGCTGACAGCAAACAGCCTCTACATCTCTGTTTCTCTCCAGTCAGCAGAGCAGATACAATCCCACTGCTCCAGCCCTGGAAAATAAAATGTGACCTACAGATTTCCCACATCTACTCTTGTGCCTATATACAGTACATGCCACAAATGGGAAGATAAATGGTGAAATTTGTGTTTTAAATGAGTGGGATGCACAACAGGTTCATGCACCACTCAAGGGATTGACTACTGGCTGATGCTGGGAATCAGATTTCACTCATGGTGACCAATCCAGTGCATCTTACATTACATGCAGCTGCTTTAGCATCCTTCAGAAACTGCTTCCTTTTTTCAGCTTAATATAATTCAGTGTACCTTGTCCCTATTGTATCTTATTGTCTATATCAAAGAATTCAATGGATGAGTTGTAATATTTCTTTGAAAATGAGGCACAGTGACTAGGGTGGGGCAGCAAAGAATCAGGTGTACACAGAAATACACAAAAGAAATGGAGTAAGAAAACACATTAGAAGCACTCATTTTTATATTGAATAAAATGTACCGGGGCCACCACAAAGCAGTTCAAACAAAGAGGAACTATTGTTTCTGTCGATATCATAAACTAAACGTCTTACAGTGTCCTCAGATGAACTTGCTCTTCCTCTCTCTCTTTCAGCTGTATCTTGGTGCAGAGGGTTGCATCAGCAAGATTCTCTCTCCAGCCTTATCTGAGTGGTTAACACCACAGAGGTTTAAACCACTGTTTACTATTCATTATTAAGTCATCAGACAAGACAAACAGAATAGTACAACTGTGAGACATATTTCTGAAAGTGGCAGGATGTTTTTTTTTATTAAAAAAATGCTGCTCTGTGTTCTAATTCAATAGAAACAGCTAGCTTTGCAGAACTCTTATGATCATTTAGCAGATGAATATGCAACATGGCTGGAAGTCCACCTTGCTCCACATCGGGCACAATCTCCACTTACAAATCCGATTCGTTAATCTTTCTGTGAATGTGTTTTCTGCTGTCTCATTCTTAGCCCTTCCCCTGATCACACACATCGTGTACAGATATAAAGCCAGAGCATTTGCGTTACGGCAGCTCTTTTTTGTGAGTGAGCTACACAGGCACAGAAGCTCTGAAGGGCACGGCCTCGTCTCCGGGGACAGTGTGGTTGAATCATCGCTAGATCTCCACTAAGAACCTTCTCAGACGCCTCACAGAGGCAACACGCATGTTGTACATATACACTTAAGGGATAGATGGCCCAGCACGTTGTGTGCCGACCCAGATATATTTTTAATCAAGGCAGCACGCTTGTCCTTTATGAAAATCACTTAATAATGTAGTGGAGTTTAAGAATAACTCCAGCATTTGATTTCTCTCCTGACAAATAGATAAGATACAGCTAAATGAACAGCTGGCATGAATCGCTAATGAAGATTGGAAAACGTATGCATCAAACATGAGCCATACAAGCTACAAAAACAACTAATGGCAGATTAAGCATGGGATATCACCAGGACACTATGAATTACCCACAACCCCCTGCAGGATCGCCACTTCCACTGAGTTCTAGATGCTGCAGATACGGGTGCTGGGGTGTGACTTTGTTAAAGAATGACTGATTGAAGTTCCATGTCCTAATGGGTTCTGTTACACATGGATGAAGCTGTTAACATTTTCCAAATAGTAAAACTTCAGTTTCATCGTCTGCCTCACTGGAAAGTAGACTGCCAATGGCAGCTGTGAGATAAGCGCAGTGTGATAGTGATTTAATTATAAAGGATGTCTGAAACTGATTGAGTGAGGTTTCCATTTTTGTCAATTATTCCCTGGGGCCTGACACAGCAAACCTGGATGCTGCAAGAGAAAGGGGAGGGAGAAAAACACACCTAAAAGAAGGAAAATAACACTGTCAACTGTCTATACTCTGCAGTGGCACTAAAACCCTATTTTATGAGTAGTTACTGCAGATACAATGTTCTGAATATAATAGCTCAATTCATGAGCCATGTGCAATCTGAAGGCCCTGATTTGTGTGTTTAGGTGAAAGCCTTGTCCTGACTTAATAACATGACAACAAGCAGATATTTTCAGAGTTTGCTTGAAAAAATACAGGTTTGAATGAATGCTCACAGATAATTATCAGGCCTCCTTTTCATATTCCATCTCTTGTACAGACGGTTGTTCTGGACTGATGAAAAAAAAAAAGCTTAGCACAATTTGAGCCCTGAGAGGGCAGCCACTGTCTACAGGTCTGTCTACAGACTAATCTCCATATCACATGGATAACAATCTAAACTTATCATTAGATTACCACATGCTCAGATTAGTGATGCAGCAAGCTGTCACTGAAGTGAAGGTGGTACACATATACCACATATTATCCCTGCTAATACACTAGTGGTGTATGATTATGACAAATTTATTTAGTTCATGTGTAATTCAGGTCATCAGCTGACTTTGCTGAAAATAGTTTAGCTACGAGAGCAGAATTAATTTAATTCAAACATACGATAACAGAGATACTGAAGTTATTGCAAATGTGAGATTGACATATGTTGTAATGTGTAGGCAATATTGAAATAAAAGAAATAAAGTTGAAACTAATGACAACAAGGAATGCTGTGAAACATTGCTAAACCTATAGAAGTGATTGAAAGCCTGATCCTCCTCTGCTAAAGTGTTTTAATAAAAGTCCTGTCATCGGTGGGAAACGGTCCAGCACAAATGCCTGTCACGACTCATGATTTAATCATCAGAGCTGTTTCCAATACATGATCAATCCTCGAGTTTGCAAGCTTCTATACACCCAGGCGTGAGAGTTAATTAGGCTACGAGAGAGTGTGAAAGCTTTCATAAGAGATTTATGGATAGTTATTCTGTCACTGTTTTAGATTAGAACGGACAAGCCATTTATTTGAGGAGAGTTTAGGAGGGCCACCCCAACGTTGGACCTTGCCTAACAGTGAATCTGGTTGATCGTGAACTTTAAACCTTTTCAGGCAGAAGAAGCCAGCGAATGGAAACAGACTGTCTCGGCTGATGTTGAACCTCAACCCACCTGTAGTTCACACCATGCCACTTCCACCCAGGTGTCGGTGTCCAGACCCTTATAGACGGTCTTGAAGGACCCTCTGCCCAGCTCGATGTCAAACTTCAGGAAGCGCCCCCCTGGTGAGGTCGACACAGCCTTCATCCCGGGCTCCTCTTCATTCTCATCGCTCCCTGCTTTACCTGAGACATCGGAGCAGACCACCTCTACCTTGGGCTGGGTCTTGCCCACCTGTCTCTTCTCCTCATCTGCTTGGACGCTGTCTTTTGGGCCCACCTGGCTCTCCGTGCTGGAGGTCTCCAGGAGACGGGTCCGAGTCCGATCGACTATGGTCCGCAGATCGATGCTGAGCACCGGGGTGCTGCTGACAAACTCCGGCGTGTCCACCGGCTGCTCCTCGTGGTCAGACACCCACAGGCTCCTGCGGATGAACCTGCGGCGGACCAGCCCCTGGTATTCTGTGGAGGGGTAGGCGCTGGGGTCACTCGCCCCTCGCAGGGCTGCGTTATTGATGTTGACGTTGTGGTCTGTCCCATTCTCGTACACGAGCCTACAGGCATTTGCGTTGATATCCGAGTCTAGATTCGGTGCCGAGGAATACGTGGATCCCAGTGGAGGATCTCTGCTGGAATTCATCCCGGCTAAAAGGGTTAAACGCTGGCCGGTGACATCGCGCCGCGGAGCACGGCGAGCACGCTCCTCTGCCGGTGGTAGGGGAGAGTTCTGCTGCTTACCTGCAACACTTGCAGTGACGCAGTTCGCCAGCACAGGATGTATGGCCTAATGCCTTGATTCTTTTCAGGACACAGATCATCCCCTCAAAAAATGTCCAGCTCAAGAGGACGGACGCGTGGTCTCTCGCGGCCGCTCAGCCCTATCGGCAGCACGGCTCTGGGCTAGTCCAGTTAAAGCTGATGTCATTGCCAGTTTAGCCTATGAGCTCACGAAATCACTTCCCTCCACAGTCAGTGCATATAGTATCCGGCGTATTTCGTAGACAGACGCGCTGGGCAGCGGAGTGTCCGGCCTGCAGGCCGGGATGCTTAGAGCCCCAGCCGCTCCACAGACATGACCGGACGCCCCGGCGCGCCGCAGCCCGTCACCGACATCCTCCAGCCGGACTCCAGATGGCAGGTGCTCCGCGTGGAAATCTGTATCACCTCCGACGAGTGTGACCTCAGCATAATTCGATTTAACTGTTTGCAGGTACTCCCCCCCCCCCCGACTTGTCCCGCAAAACGCGCTCTCCGGATCGGGCTCACTGCGGCACGGCGCGCTCCGGGCTGGATCCGCCAGCTGTCAGCGCGTCAACCCTCCAGCTGCTGAGACCTCTTGTCTTCCTGGATTCAATCTGTTCCGCCGGGCTCTGGGGAAAAAGCTAAGATCCCCTTCCACGACGCGCCCCACGCCCCTAGCAACAACACGTATCCAATAACTCGGCACGCTCTCAGGCAGCAGCACCCTTACCCTCCCCTGACACAGGCCGCATGGACCTCACTGTCCGCCTTCATCATGACGTGTTAAGCCTCCTGTGGGAGGATGATTAAAGCCCAAACAAAAGAGATGCCTGTATGCCTGGATCCCATTCTTATAACAGCCGATCATGCGATAAATGGTGAATTAAGCAAATCCTATAAGATGAGGTTAAACAGAAACCCAATACAAAGTTAATTAAAGAGTATAAATATCACTATTTTACAACTTTTTCAAGGATTGTTTAGTCCCATTTATGCAATTCTACTCTTTGCATCACACACTGAATTACGTCACCATAAAGGTGAAGACCAATGTCCAGATTAGGAGGCCACAACCGATATGCCCTTAAATAATTCACTTAAAACGTGTTATTTTAATTATAGTATTTCTTCCATAAAGACACATAGCACTCAATTTGCCGTACTCCACAGCTTTTGACTTATTTCAATGGGAGTGGATTTCAGAAATAAACTGTTTAAGACAGTGCAGCAGGTGCATTTTCTTTCTTTCCTTCTTTTTTGTGTCAATGAAAGCTTCAGGCTAAATGGGCAGTTCTGAATGGTATGAGGCAACTATGAAGAACAACCTGCTCTGATCACCAGAGAAAGGAAGGACATAATAAGAATAATTTGGTGTGCAGGTTTAGAAATTAAAGCAGTTCATTGTAAAATCGCTGAATGTGCCTTTTCAAGCATGGGCTATAGTCATCCCATTCATTAGTTTTTATTTTTATTTGAGGGATATACATAGCCCCATGTATAAAAGTGCTTTTTCCTTTGTCAGATTTAGTTAAAGCTCTCCTGCTGAGATATATCTGACATATGCTTGTTACATTCCTTATCAGTTGACAACTTCTGTATTTTTCAATTCGATTGGACAAATTACAGATGCAATAACAACATTGCCAGAATTCCTTAAGTGTCCCAAATGTTATTAATATTGACAGACTTTGTTGCAATCACAGAAATATGTTGGTTTATCCTTGAATTGAAAACTGTGTACTGGGAACTGGTGTTTATTCTCTTTACTGTTCCATCTGACTCATTTGAAGACCAATACTTCTTTAAAAGAAATTCACTGCTTTAAAACTTATTTAGATTAGAATATTTTGAGTCTCTTTCAGAATCTGTTTGGAGTGGTTAAATTTGTTTCCATCTATTCTTGGTTGTTATGTGTGCTTATTTACTTAGGTTACTTCAATTGTTTGCATCCTCTCACTTTGCATTTCCTTTAAGCTGTTGTTGCTTTTCAAAGTGCCACTATTGTGCTTTGTCTGTGGCAGCTCGGTTTAATTCCCACCGAAAGGTGAACGCAGTCCCTTTAAGGGGGCTGGTGTCCTGAGCCTGTGGCCGGTGTTCGTGTGGTCATTCCACCGGTGACCTTTCCCTGGTCTGCTGGGGTCCTGCGTGCGATGGCGTGGGTTGGCCACTAGGTGGCAGCAAACACGTCCTGTTTGCGTGCTGGCAGCGTAACGCACCCACACACACACACACACACACACGCACACACACACAGACTTCCTTAATGCCACGGTCCTGCAAACATTACTTCTCCACTTCAGATCACATGTGGTGTAATAACCCCCCTGAGAGGAGAGGGGAGCCCGCCCTCTTTCACAGCTCTCTGCTCTCTGACAACATGTCGGAGGGGCGGTAGTAAGCTGAAACCATCCCCTGACCCTCTCCGCCGCAGCACCCCTTTTATACGCGCACTCCCTCGACAGTCCGGGACCAGAAAGCACCGGCGGCGGTCCACTGTCCCCCCACGCCGAAGCTACGTGACCTGGGGAGCCTCTCAAAGAGAAGACATGGCCTCTGGGAGCCTGGAGATGAACGGGGATGCTGATAGAAACGGCGGCTTGGAGGTGAGGCGGCAGTTGAAGGGGCCGGCAGGGGTGTGGGCAGCTAAAGCCTCCATGTTCGCCTTTATCAGAAAGCCAGCGGTCAGGGACGGACAGCCGGTGTTGTGTCGGTTCAGCTGCCGGCTCTTCCTCCATCTCTCATCCTCTCGGGCTGTGTCATGTGGAGAGCTTTGCGGGCAGACAGACGGCGAATGGAGCCGAACTTTGGGCTGTAGTTCGGTGGGCTCCACCTCTGTGGCGAATTTGGGACTTTCGTCTTTGTGTGTTTGTGTTTGTGTGTGCTGTTTCCGTATTGTCTGGCCGGCCAGGCTCGGTTTCACGGGTGAAAGCTGAGACGGGCCACCGTGGGTCAGGTGTCCGAGCTCAGCCGCTGACCCTCAGCAGGGAAACAGCCAAAACAAAGACCCTCACTTTGCTTTTGCTTTTTTGGAAGAGTTCATCCTGTCGATGGAAGTCCCCCTCCAAAGCTGCTCATTCTACTCTGCTTTAACAGTTTTTTAATGCTTTCAGATGAATATTTCTATGCATTTTCACACTCCAACTTTTAGGTGGTCTAATTTAGATTCAGTGTTTTGACACTTTTTTCCCCCAAATGACTAGCAATAGATATTTTTAAATGTATCACCCACCAAGCATGTAAAAATACAGCTCTCCCCCAAAGAATAGGGTCATTGTTTGACCTCAGGTGGCTTTGGATGAAGTCACAGTTTAGAAATCTGACCGGCGAATGTCCACCGGTCAGTCATCTCTCAGTAACGCAAGTCAAATATTAGAGAGGGTGCCATGTAATTCCTGGATCAGGTTAGTGTTATTTTTCTCCGTTATTTCCTCTCCACAGATATCTGCTGTCCCTGTGTGCTAAACAGTTAGTAGGCTGTTTAAACAGCAGTTCAAACCTGTGGCTGTGGTAGTAACATGCTACTTACACACTGATGTTTTAGGATAAGTAACTTCATTATTTCCTTCATATGAATACACACACACAAGTGCTGTATCAGATTGAATTAGGCCAGTTATAGATAAATGCTTTCTCTCAGGCTGGATCCCCTTCTCCCATTCTTTACTCATGGATAATTTTCATTTTGATGTTGGGTTACTTTTACTTTTGTTCAAAATGTGAAGAACTTTTACTTTTCTTTGTATGACTGTGACCTCTGCAGTAAATCTGTGACGAGATAGAAACCAAGTGCACCCCAGTGGAAAACCCTTTAAAGGGAAATGCTTTGAAAATATGTGCCACAACCGCAACGCTCCCTTCTACAGATGAATGCAGAAAAAAACTCAGAAGAGACCCAGAAAAGTACCTACTACCTACAGATAAATCAGTTACAAACCAGTAAAGGTCTGCTCTGTAATGAGTGACAGCATCTTTCCGTTAAACAGAAAGGCAGCACAGCTATCTTTTATTAACTGGTAGGAGCTTATCTGCACATTTAGAGGACTTTGTGTCACACAGGGATTGGTAGCAAACCGAATTAAGTGAAATGACAGTTGGATGGGCCGGATCAAGACTTTAGGACTAGGATTAAAACGTTTTTATCGAATGTTTCATCGAAAAAGGGAACATGGTGAATCTGTTTTAACCCAGAAAGCGTGTGTGAGGACATGGGTCTAACCCCTTCCTCTCAGCCACCAGAGCATCCTTTTCCTCTGCGGCTTGGCAAGTTTTCACAGCTGTTAAAGAGAAACCTGGAGCCCGGTTTCTGCTAATGCTGACGCCAGCGTGGCCACAAAAGGTCACCATTGTTGGTCAACTGACCGCTGCCCCGGCCAGACAAAGCGGAGACGTTCTCCTTCAGGTACTCTGCTGCCATGCTGTGTTTGGAATCTTTATAAACACGCGCGTCTTCTGTTTGCCGGTGAGACACGAAGCTTGCGACCTGGCCAGTGTCATGACATCCTGGGTTCCAGCCGTTGGGAGTGCGTCCAGCGGATGAATTTCCAGTGGAGTGGAAAGAAAAAATAAACCACTTTCACTTCTGTAAATATCCTCCACAGCAAGCGAAAACCGCGAGATTGCAGAATTCTGGGCTTTTTTTTATTCGCCACCCCCTCCCAGCTATTTGATTGAGCTTTCATTTTTTCTTGAAAAGACGGGGTCAAGGTGGTTGATGATAGAAATAGAAATAGTCCCAAGTTTGTGTCCGGGTAGACCAGCCGCCGGCGGGTTAACCGACTCAGCACGTTTTATCCTGTGATCAGCAATGTGTATTTTCTGGTTGAAATAAAGTTTTAGACGTTCCATTATGGCAGCGGTAGAGGATTTGTCAACACTAAAAACAATTTTTTTAAAGTCCAGCTTTACACAAGTGTGAATCAAAGTGAAACCAGCTGCAGTTAATCAAAGCAAAGGTCTCCTTCAAGTGTGTTTTTCCCAGAAGAGGGCTGAACACATACTGTCAGGAAAACCCGAGTAGTGTGGATTCATTCTGAGGAAATCTGCTGTCATCAATCTTTAGTCCTCACTGACTCAGTGGACAATGCTTTTTGTTGTTGCCCCTCGGCAGAGAGCAGCCTCCGTTTGGGGTTCCACTCTCTCACTGTGCCTGCCTCTGAGTGCTGCTAATGCCAGGCTTTGTGTTTGTGTCCAGGCTCCTCTGCAGGATGGCACGAGGAGGCCACGCCGACCCTTGAACATGAACCATTACGCCAACAAGAAGAGCGCTGCAGAGAGCATGCTGGACGTGGCCCTGCTCATGGCCAATGCATCCCAGCTGAAGGCTGTCCTGGAGCAGGGATCCGGATTCACCTTCTATGTGCCGCTCATCACTCTCATCAGCATCTCGCTCATCCTACAGATCGTGGTGGGGGTTATGCTCATCTTTATAGGTAAGTTCATCAGGTCGTCATCTGCTTACCATCTTTTCTCTCATGGTCAAGGGCAGGATATTATATATATATATAAAGAAAACCTTTTCTTTTTATATTACTCCACCACGATATAAAAAGATGCATCGAAATGATTTTATGGTCAGTTAAAAACTTTTCTTTCAAAAGCGGCCGGTTGTATGTGTTGTTTTCATGGTTTCATTAACTCTGCAGACACAATAGTTTTATATATTCGTGTAGTAACCTTGTGACATTGTGAAATGAATAAAAAAACAAACAACAAATTTACGGTAAAAAAAATCATTCTCAATATGATGCCAGCAAGAAGTGTGGCACAGGTTAGTTAAATACTGGAAAGGTTGTGTAACGGGACCAAACAGAGGCTTAGTTTTTCAGAGGAGGACGTTACATAAGGAACTCGGCATACACTCAAACTTCAAGAAAACAGTCTCACAAAATAAAAATGAAGTGAACTTGTGGACTTTATAATCTATTATAAACTAAAATATTTACAGAAACCTTTAAAAATATAAACAGGTATAAGAAAACCTGCAGTGAGCCATAAATTCCTCTGAAAAGCACCGACATTGAACACAGCTGAATCCTGCACATACTTTTGAAAGTTCTCTTAGTTATTCTAAAATATAAAGGAACTATTTACCCAGAGGCAGATATTTTTTTTAACTTACGGAAATGAAAACCTTTAAGGTAGGAAGTGGGGAAGTTGTTCTACATCTCAAAGTTGGTTTTCCCCACACACTGGTGAGCCCTCCTCCATTTGGGCTTCTTTCTTATCTTACCCTAACAGACCCTACTATTGTAAGAGAGCACTGAGTTCAGAGAGCACAGTCTCGAAGGAAACTTGGCTTTGCTGTCAGCCGGTTCCAATTTTAACTGGCCCTACTTATTATTGGGAGGACGTCCTCACATGGTATGTAAAAATACAGGCCCATCCCGTATTTAAAACAGATCCACACATGTTTAATTTACAGATCAATGAGGTATGAAATGCCTCTCTGGGGGAGAAAGATAATTACTCAGCTCAAAGCAGTGCTGTCACACGCTGTTAATTGATAGGATACCCTCCATGTCTGCAGGCTGTAGCTCTGTGCTGCCCCCTTGTGGGGAAAAGAGTTAACTCCACAGGATGGTGCATATTAAGCTAGGCCTCCTTTGTTTTGCATCTTTTTTTTGCCAGTGAAATGGAATCTAAATGATGAGCGCACACACTTCAAGTTGAACATCTTGGAGAACGCAGCCACAGCTTTCGTCTTTATCATAGTCGTCGTCAACGTCTTCATCACAGCCTTCGGTGTTCAGCGGCCCAGCTCGTCTGGTTGACCGAAGCCTCCCATGATACTGCTTGTTGGCCGGAGTAGATTTAAGGATTGCTGTGTACAGCCAGATCTTTTTTACCTCCTATCGAGCTCAGGTTACTGAAGCAATGCATATCGTCTTCCCCAGTGAAAAATGTACAAAGAGTTTGAGCAAAACTCCAACCATTGTTGACACTTGGCTGAAAAAAATGAACATCGACATGCCTTCTTTTGTTTAGAAATACAGAGGAAAAACTGTAATAGTACAGAAAACACCAAACCAAAAAAATCTGGATTAATTTTTCTCCTCATGGTGCATTGTGATGTGAACAGTTTTATTCTGGGGGGAATTATGATGTTTACTGTATTTAACGACTCCTCTGGTCAATGAAGTGCCCCCTACTTGTTTTCTGAGCTATGCAAAGTGATTTACAGATGTACTTGTATTTACTCTTTATGTGGTTATGTGTGCTTTAAGGCATTATATTATCACTTTTTTAGTACCAAAGTTTTTTCAACTTTTATCATATGCACTTGTATTACATTCAGCGACTATAATTTAAAAACGATTTATAATAAAAAACAGTAAAATAACAAGTTTCTTGTTTTTATTTTTTTCCAATTTCTGTGCATTTTTTAAATCTTCATGTACAAAGTTCTTACAAATTGTGGTTAATAGCAAATGTAAGGCAACACAATATTTGACAAAGTCAATGCGTATACATTATTACACTTCCACAAAAATATTTCCCTTTAGAATAACTACAGATTTATAGAGAAGGCACCAGCTGATGAACATTTCCGCGTTGGCTTCTTACATCCTGTGGATCATTCCTCATAGCGTTAGGAAAGAAAACGCCCTTTCACATAGAATTGATGAACCATCTTCAATGCTGAATTAGTTTCTATTAGTCTACAAACTGGAAACTCCACTAAACTACGTGTGACTTTGTTGCATGTCAACTCATTGCCAAATTTGACGTAAAAAAGCACCGTCCAAAAGTGACTTTATTCTCCGAGGCACATTAAACACATCCATCGATGTTTCGGTGTCGTTTTTTCACTAATAAAAATCCGCATGTTATTTCAAGACGCGCTGTATTTCTTGGGAAAATCTGGAAAGCAAGACAGAGGACCACAGAAACCAAGCCTATTTTTACTGGTGACCTAATGCCATCGTGGATCAACAGGGGAAATACAATGTTCCACCCTGCCCGAGTCCGACAAAGCGGAAACGTGCACATGGGAATTGTGACACACATTTCCGCTGCCGAGTTCCATGTTGAATAACAGCAGCCGCGGGCCGTGACGTGCATAGGAGCAGAAAAACAGCTAAAAAACTTGGTCAGAGATGCCACGAAGTAGGTGGCAATGCCTTAACCGTATATGTGTTGATGGCCACAAGGGCCAATTCCATCCTTGTCAAGGGGAGTGCTAACCTTCTCTCCTTTCATACAACACAGTTATGCTAGGTTGGACTCCCGGTAATATAGGAGCCCTCACACAACCGTGTTTCACTCATGGTGCTAATTCGCATTTCCTAACATTTGTTGACTCCAACAGATACATATCTTCTCTGGGCCCGTGAACGATGACCAATACGTCATTATTCCCACATTTCTATAAAGAACCTTATATTTTCTTTCGTCTTAATGATACCCACAATGCACTGCAACCTGAATGCGTGTTATGATTGGTGAGATAAACCACGTGATATCAAGCACGGCTTTAACTAAAACTAAATTATATGATATTTTGGACTGTGAACATGATTTAAATTTTGTTGTTATGTACATACATATGTGTGTTTTTCTTACCATAAACAGAAATGTCAGAAGCTATTTTTCAAAGAAACAACATACATTTGATTATGCGACTCCTCATTTGTCCACAAGATGGCGACCATGATTCAGAATCTAATTGATAGTTGTCGTTGTACTATAACGAGTACAATGAAACCTCACACCACTTCTAGTGTGACTTACATTAATGCAAAACACACGTGTGCCCCCCCGCCCCCAAAAGAACATAAATAATAGCAAAAAATTCAGGTTTTAGATACGGCAACAAAATGGGCTGATGCATTTGACTTACTGAGTAAAGGAAGGTTCCTCTGAGCCGCAAAATAAAGAGATCTTGTGTTTTAACTTTAACCTTTCTTTTAAAAGAAAAGTTAGAGTCAGAAAGTGTTTGCAACCCTTCCACCCATTTCAGATTACATAAGTGAAAGAAGGAAAGCACCTATTTGACCAATATTTCAAATTTTAGCGCCAAAATAAAATGTATAATATCTAACATATATGTCGAACAAAGGCAGCGTTTAACACTTAAGGAGACAGGGTGTGCTTTGGTAGGATCAGTCACTATGAAGCACCGGGTGTGAAGGAGTTACCCACTACTTCATGAGACCCTCTTCAGTGTACCATATAAGAACCTCCTGGGCTTTTTTTTTCAGGCCAAGAGCAGCCATCCCGAGAGCCCGACTGCCTCCCGATACCTTAGCTTCTACAGAAAGAAAAGACAGAATCCTAAGGTTATAAACACATCGTGAAGAGATCTAAAGAAAAATATCCATTGGGAAACAATTTACCACTGTAGTAGTAGAGTAAAGCCATTCCAACGGCAAAGCTGAAACAACCCAGAAAGAAGTGGGGACCTGGAAACGGTAAGTGCATAAGAATACAAATTCAGATATATATTTTGCACAGACATTACATGTACGGGCTCTGCATTACCTCTGTCATTCAGAACATGTTTCTGTTTGATCACCCTGGGAATGGAGAGTGGATCCAAGGAATCTGGGAAGAGAATGTCAAAAGCTTTTAAAATATTGAATTGAATACATACAACTAATCCTGAAATACCCATGAATACAGTAGGCACAGTATGTGAGAGACATTAAACAGGTAAGCAGTTTTTGGGGACACACCTCTGAGACGGAGCCGTGTTGGTAAGCTATAATACACCTCCTCCACATGGAGGTGAAGAGCCCTGTAAAACTCCCGGCACGCTTCTTCACCCTTTCCTTGCAGGTGTGTCAGGAGCTCACCAATACGGACGTTTGTAGGAACATCCAAGTTTCTGAACTGAACATTGGAGAATAAATGTTATAAGACTGATGACTTCACCTGCTGAAGTACGTTATGCTGTCCTCTGATGCCACGGCTAGCTATTGTGGAAAATATTCATAATTAACATAATGGTAACCCCATTAGGGAATAAGCGGTAACGATAATGGATGGATGGATGGAACATAATGGTATAATTTACATTTGCTTTTTACAACATTGCATGTCAGGTGCCACTTAGAGATTGAGCACGATATAGCAGATATACTGTCCATTTGATGGTATCGTTTAAAGCTGATGCGACCGTGTGAAATGTATTTACATTATATGTATTTACATGATTACAGAGCGATGGAAATAAGTTAAATTTTAGGCAACCTTGTTTAAATAAATCATAGAGTATGCTACCTCATTATTTTTAAAGCATATGGGGGACTATGCCAGCTTGGAATTTAACATTTAACATTTTGGACTTCCAAAGTACAGTTTATAGCCTAAAATTTGATCAACCTAATTTAAAAACATATACAATTCAGCATAAAGTGTTGCTTCAAATGTAACAAACCAGTTATATGGTAAATAGAATTTCTGATCCTTTTATCATTAGTGGGGCTCAATTAACCACAGGAGGGTCAGGTTTTCCACTCTTTTTTGCCAATAGAATTTAAAACACACATGTTGAACATCTTTAACCCTGTTTGTCTTATGGCTCCGTTGCACATCTAAAAGCAACCAAGAAAGAGACTGACTGGCTGAGTAGGACTCACTTTGGTGGCCTCCTTGTCTGTAAGGATCTGCGGGTAGATTCTGTTGAGCTGCAGGATGAGTTTGTCCACCAGCTCCGTGTCCAGTCTCCTTTCAGCTTTGAGGAAAGCACTGTCCTCTTTCAGCTGCCCATGGAAACTCTCTGCCCAAGTAGGGAAGTTAAACTTAAATTAAACTTGGCACATCAACAGTTGCTCAACAATCATATTTCCCTGTCTGTGATAACCGGGCAAAATGGAGCGCGGATTATTGTAAATGTTTCTCATAACTTTGGCATGAGTATGAGGGCTTGGTAGATCGGGGACGCTCCGAAAATGCATTTACTGCTAAAAGCATTACAAAAGACTCGTTCTGCTGTCAACCGTGTTATTGGGGAACTTTTCAGAGACCTCCACAACACTTAAGATCGAGACGTCTAGCTTTTTTTTTTTTTTTTTTGAAAAGCGAACAAACTTATCCGGTTGTTTGCGCGGCAGTGACGGTGCGATATGACCGTTATGAAAGCCCACCGAACCAAAGACCCCAGGTTTGTGCAAAAATGAACATTAGGTTTACATTCTTCTTAAATATACAAACCTCCCATTGTGAAGTCTCCTCTGCCCTCTGTTTGGAAACGCCCTCTGACGTCATCACGTCGGAAGGGATGAGCATGCGTCAATGTCTTCCATTAAAAAAAATAAAAAACAACAACTTGGAGACATGTTGGTGAGGGAGATCAAATCAGCTCATGGTATTGTTTAATTTACACAACAATGTGCATTTTTTGATGCAAAGATAAAAACATTTTTAAAAAGTTTCTTTGAAAAACAAACATTTTCCTCTTTTTGCTTTTATAGATCAGCGCTGGTGGGTGGGTGAGGGGGGTTAAGGGCCTTTCCCAGCCAGCAGTGGAGGAGACGGGTCACCAGTCCATCAGAGGGCCCCACAGACACAAATAACCACGCACTGCATCACTTACTCCATTTAAAGGTGCCAACTGACCTGGCTGTTTGGACTTGTTCACAGAGAACAGCAGACAGACAGATAGGTAGCAGTGCCAGCAACACACAGCTGCTCTGCACTCTGATCACATGATCACAGAGGATCCATCAGCACATGTCAATAACCACTGCTTTTAAGAGGGATGAATCGTTTTCAAAGATGATAAAGTGTAAAAAGAAAAAGAAAACACACACTCGGGACATCAGATTTGTGTAAGTTAGATTTATTTTTTTTACCAGCCATAAGTGGAGGCAGAGCAACCAAACATGAATGTTGCTAGCGTTTTTAACCACAGTTCAGACTTCACAAAAGTAAGACCAGACAGCTAAATTCAGACTCCCTCGAGAGGTCGAAGAGCACAAGGAATCGAGTCGCCTAGTCAAAGACAAATAAATACAACTGCAGTCATAATAAAAACACGTAACTCGTATAGGACCCAGGCTGTGAGCAGCAGTGAATAAGATGTCCACATAGCACAAACATTTCCTTTTTCTGCTTGTTTTTCCGAGTCATGTTTGCAAATTGCACTTATAAACAAAACACAATGGCACTGCAGACTCAGCACATAAAACGTTTACAAAAGTTGTATTAAAAATTACTTAAAAACCCCTTCCTGAATGAAGTTTCTGAATACTTTTAACATCTATTAACTTATAAATCTTTAAATAACTTGGTATTGCAATACTGTGCTGTTCTTCAGTCATAACAAGCCTAGTAGTACTTGTAACAGCTTTGTCATCCTAAAATCAAGGCTCCACAACTCTGGGCTCTCAGAATAAAATATATTTTATAATATGATATTTTAATTTCACGTATTATTTCTTTATTTCCATTCGATCCTTTCTATTAGCTAAAAAGGAGAAACATTTCCAGAACTTTGCTTGTTTCTACTGACTGTCAGAGAGGCAATCCTAAATCTAAGCCCCATGTGCAACAGTGGCAGAGTAGCTTATTTGTCTCTCGTTTGATTTTAACCCATAAATTAAATCGTCTGGTTTTCAAGAAGGCAATGTAACATCTCTGCAATTGAATAAATTAGGATTATACATATTTAGATGCATTAAAATGTAACTAAACCCAGATCCTTTCAAAACAGTGAATAATACTTGAATAAAAAAAGCATATTAGATAAAAAAAGAAAAAGAATCACCTAAGAGCAAAAAGGTCATAAAAGTGCTCAGTCGGGGTAACAGGCAACAAGTAATTAGTGAGGCATCCATCTAGATTCTTCCTGTGGTTCAGTCTCCATGGCTGTGCGTTGTAGGAAGACTGATGGACCGCAGTGAGTGGCTGATGTGCTTAATCATTTTACACAGTCGCACCGTGTTTGATGCAGTTTGAGGGAATTTGGCACTCTCACACAAGGCTCTGGGTAAATACTGCTGGGTATGTTCGTGTCTCTATGATGTGCTGATAGGATTTGGATCATGATTAAAGTCATGAAGCCAGGAGCACGGGCGACAGTCAGCTGTCCCACGCTGGCGGGCTTCCCTTAAGGACACTTGGCTTGACAGATTTACTGCAAATGGAAAGACAGAGCAAGATAAAAATCACAACCATCTTACTGTCTGCTGCATTAAAGGCTCCTTAAAGCAACCGGCAGCAGCTAGAAGCAGCACTTTTATCAGTCAATTTCAATTACTGTTGTTGTCAGGAATAGCTAGCGCAGCCCCTAACTTACATGATGGTTGGAAGATGCTCCTTTGCCTTTTGATTTGGCTTTGCCTCCCACCGCGGTGGCGCTGCTGCGCCGTGCCTGCTCGTGGTCAAACTCCAGATCCTCCAGACGCTGAGTTAAAGCCAGCTTCTGCTGAATGGCCATACGTAACAGGGAGTTCAGCGTCTTCTTCTCGTCCTCGGCTGCAGCCAGCTGCCTCTGCATGTCGTCCAGCTGGATAACATACTCGTCACATCTGGGAGGAAGAGCGGGGGACGGTGGAGAAGAAAAAAAAGAAAGAGAGAGAGAGGAGCAGGGAGAAGCCAGAGGTTAGCATTTTTGCCAGCAGGTGGAGCAATTTGCCTTCCACTTGACAAGTTTCCTCCATTTCACCAGACAGCATTTTCCAGATGGGAGGATGCAGGCTGCCTGGGGATTACATCAGAGCGTTCCCACAATGCTCTGTGTCTCTCACACATGCATACAAAAACACACAATACCTAAACACAGTTAGCTTCAGGGAGATAGATTTTTCTGCAAAGATGCTGGAAAGAAGCAGATTTAGGTTTTTAGTCCCTTCTGACGTGTTTTCTGACCTGAAATGAAGATTGCAAGGCAACGGAAATAAAACAATTAAACCAATCCTGTTTTCAATCATTTAGTGGAAAATTATCCAATGCTTCGTATTCAACAGGGGCTGAATTGTGCCAATCTTCTTATTTTGTATGACTCCCATTTCAATAGCTGCTGTTAAATTTTAATTAGTCAGCCTTTAACGTCTGCTTGAAGGAACTCTCCTCTCATTCATATTTAAACTGTGGGACGTCGGTGGGCTGGCTCACATGAGCTGTGATCCACATCCTTCCATATGGTTTCAGCTTAGCGTTTGAGCTCTCGTGTTATCATTTGAAACCTTTGTATTCTTTTTTACCTTTAAACACGAGATTGACTTAAGCAGCACCCAGGAAACCAGTGTGACGCAGGTGTAACTAACCATTTGAACTAAAATCGATGTATAATAAACGACCAAAGAATCGACTGAAATGACTTTGAATGAGTTGCACAATCATTGACAGCACGCCACTCTGATGTCGGTGCAGGACTGTCTGGTATCGCTGCCCCACCATCAGCACTGGACCTTGATATGGCATGTTTAAAGGGCTTAGAATATTTACAAAATCATCTTTCTTTGCTCTTTTCCATACAAAAGAAAAAAAAAAGTTCAATGATTTTTTTCATGTGTATCAGGGTACCTGTAAATCACACATCTTACCTTGTGGCAAACATGGCTCGGAGTGAGGAGAACGTAGCTGAATCCTCTTTGAGAGCCTTCAGTTCGTTGCGGAGCTTCATTATTGTCTCGGTAACCATGGCCTTTTCACTGTTGTACTTACTCTTGAGGTTGGAGAGGGCAACCTCAGCTGTCTAAATGGAGTAAAACGTCATCATTAATTACACGCCCTTTCTGTTGTGACAGTTTTAAACTGTGTGGTTTCTAACAGGAATTCAGAATATCTCCTCTGTTGTCAGTACGAGAAACAATGAACTTCCTTCCTCACACAGCAGCCATGTACGGACAGAAACACACACAAGCAGAGGACTGCCTTTTTCTGACCTGCTTGTTGGCCTTGAGCACAGCTCTGAGAGTTGCGATCTGCTCCCTTTTGGTGCTCAGCAGGGACTTCAGTTTCAGAATCTCTTCCATGCAAGCTTCTTTGTCTTTATCTGCCACGGCGCTCAGCTCCAAATTGGCAAGTCTCTGGCGTGACAGCTCTGTGGTGCGGTCCACTGCCTGCTGCAGGTGTCGTATCTGGTCCCTGATGATGGCCACCAGGTTATAGACGTTCATTGGCTCCGGGCGGTGCTCTGGGGCCGGAGACGTGGACACTGTGGAGTGGTTTGAGTCTGACTCTGTGTCAGTGATCAGCCCGCTGGAGAGGAGTACGGACTGGCTGTCCTTCACCTCCAGCCCCCTTCTCACCATGGCCTTGCCTTCCTTGTAGTAGTCCAGCATGACACGGTTTGGAGTCTCGTTGTTGCACATGCACACGTGGTTGTAGAGATTAGCCAGCTCCTCACTGAAGGCTATGAGTTCATCCTGGGCCACGTTCAGGCTGCCAAGAGATTCCCCCGCAGCCTCGCTGACCAGACGCAGCTCCTTCTCCAGACGGCACACCTCTGCTTTATCCGACTGGCTAATCTTCTCCAGGGACAACAACTTTGCCCTCAACTCGAGGAGGTCGCTCTCCAGCCGTGCTCGCTCCTCTTCAGACCGTGTCCGACACTCCTCGTACTGTGCCCTGAGCGTTTTCAGCTCCTGCCTCAGTTCCCCGGCTTCCGACACCGCCACCGTGTATTTACACTGCAGGATCTCAGGTCCGTTGATGTCCAGCTCGTAGTAGTCCCCGTCGTCGTGGCTGTCCCTGTCTTTCTCACTGTCCAGGGCGGACTGGCGCTCCTTACTGGCCTGAAGTTTCCTCATTGCACTTAGATTTTCAGTCAGCTTGTTGACGGTTTCCTTTTGCTCGGACACGGTGCCGTAGGCATGTTCCAGCTGCCTCTGGCTCTCCTGCAGAGAGTTTATCAGGACCCCTTTTTCTCGCTCAACCTAGCAAAAGCAAAATTGAGGAGTCAGTTGAAAAACCTGTGATTACGTGATAATAACAATAAAAATGATATCATTCACATCTCATGCAATGAGAACGGTTGGACGATCGCCTTCACATCATGTTTTCCTGTTAATATAAACTATGTTTAATGATGTCATGTCGAACAAAAGGAGGTTTGACTATCTGTCTAATCTTAAGGAAATGACAAAAATATAGGAAGCTCACATGGCTCTATATCTGACTTTCAGAGGTACATATTGTATGTAAAGTTTAAAGACTAACTGACAAATATCTCATTGGCTGGATGTTGTCTTATTCCCAAAATAATTATCCACAGACCTTCTCCAACTATTCAAAATTCCCCTGACTTAATAAAGTCTTGAAATAAAACGTTAACCGGGCCTTTGAATGCATCACTGCTGCAGCAGTTGCTCACTTCAGATACAGGCTGAGCAATCATACATTTAGAGAAGAAAAACCCCTTCATCGAGACACAATGGATTGAAAAATAAACAATGTACAGTTAAATTTGAAACACAGGAAGTCCCAACAGCAGCCCATACCTGCGCAAGTTGCTGCTTAAGTTTCTGTATCTCTGAGATGTTGAGCTCGCTCAGCAGGTCGTCCACCAGGCTCGGAGCTGGCTTGAAAGCCTCTCCTCTCTTGTTCACTACAGTTCTATTGTCTTCATCGCTGTCACCTGTCTTTACTAAGCCATTCTCAAATCCTCTAATCAGATCCTCGTTGTCGTGTTCGGCGATGGTAGAGGGGTCCTCGTGGAGTTTGGGGTTGTCGATGGAGATATTGAAGGAGCTGTACACAGATCCACCGATGGTCATGTGGTGGGACAGCTCTTTGCGCAGCACGGCCTTCTGCTCCCGCTCCAGCTTAATGGTCTCCAAAGACTCTGTCAGCTGGCGCTCAGCAATCTCTTTTAGACGCATGGCCTCCTCCAGCTGGCTGTGGAGACACTGGGAGTCCTCCTCCAGACGGCGGATCTCATGTTTCAGACCTTCAAATTCCACCTGTGCAGATGGTCAAATATAAGTGTTAACCACTGTAAAGGCGCTGAAGTGACAAAAAAAGCAAAAAATATTGTCTGCTAAGGTAAAAATCACCACTGCAAAGAAGAGATGAACAGCTGATTACTCCAAACGAACATCGTGACCTGTAGATTTAGACCAAGCTAGTTTTAAACTGCAAGCTCTTGGCACAGGGACAGTTCGTTTAGTTTTAATTGATCTTGACCAACTCTACGAAGGGCAGCCTTTTGGTATGTTTGGTGCCGTGAGCCTCACCTGGTTCTGTTTCAGCACAGACACTTGCTTCTGAAGAGAGATGTTCTCCTCCTCCAGCTCAGTGTTGTCCTGCTGCAGCCGAGCCTCCCGAACTTTGTACTCTCTGATGTCATCTCGCAGCTGACCGCGCTGCAGTTCCGCCAGCTCAGAGTTCTGCACAGGCAGGAAAGAAGACCAACGTAAACAGGACAACAGAGGTGGGGTGATTATCAATGAAACTCTATTTTCACTCCCTCTGCTGTGGTTTGGCATCCTGTGGAAAAACTAACACTATGTCGGTCATCAGTGACGATGGATCAGTGATCCTTAGTGAAAGTGAGGACCTGCTTCACACACAACAGGGGAGAGACCTTGGTAGCACAGGACAGAAGGGAGACATGGTCTATTAACCAATTCACAAAAAGAGCCTCTGTAGAGGAAATCCTTTGTGTCTCTTTCTGTTGATCATTACATCATCCTTTCAGCTGGATTTCATTCAAACTACTTCATAACAAGCACAAATGATTTCAACATGTAAATTTGTGATTCCCAATTTACACCCCTACCTCAATCGTCTTTCCCCAAATGAATCCCACTGACGTCCAAGAATAAAAAAAATGAAGTATAAACAGCTTTAGGAAAAGACAGTTTTCTCTGTTACAGTCAAATTTGAATGCGAGTAAAGCATGCCTCTGAAACTGCTTTTTATGTGACAGCAAACATGTGGAATTCATTACTTCTCTCATCTCAAGGACAATGGCTGCCAGGCGGTCGTTTTCAGCTTGAGCGCTGGAGAGGGACACTTTGGCCTGCCGTAGCTCATTCTGCAGCTCCAGGACCTTCTGCTGGTAAAGGGCCTCCTTACTGGCAGACTCCAGAATCAACGACTCCTCCCTGCTCTCTCCATCGGCTGCCACCTTCCTGTGGGTAGAGTGAGCTTGTCCAAAGGCCTGGGGACAGAAAGACATGTATGATAAGTTTTTAAAAACTTTACTTACAGCACACCTGCTCTAAATGGATCACACAGAACCACTACACTTTGACCAAGTGACATACCTTTATTACCCCTTAATGAGCCTTTTAAGCAAACCCCAGTGGGTGTTTCTATACAAGACAAAAGGGCTATATTATTGTAAAGTAGAACACACAAGGATGAGTGTTCTGATGGAAACAGAGATGAGGAACGTGGAAAAAACAGTGGTGTTGAAGACACACACTTAAGAATAGCAGGACTGTACCCATTATGTTTGCTAGAGCAGACACTGTGCCCTAACCAGCCTCATTAAGGGCAGTGAAGCCATGATGAGACCATGTGAATTTGTGAAAGCAGAAAAATACAGAACAAACACGTCTGTTGCTTTTTCAGATGGAAATCTCTGATTAAGACCAGAAATGTTCAGCTCGAAGGAAAAATTCTAAGTCTCAAATGTTACAAACACACACAATCTGTTGATCTCTGGTATTTCTAGACTGTCATCTTGATGTCAGTCACTAAATATGACCACTGAGTTCATTAAAAATAAAATACTGTGGACCAAAAGGAGGGAATCACTGTTTCAAAACTCCACTTTTAAATATGAAAAAATAAACCCACAACTTCCATCATTCCATTTGGAAGATTTCTGTATAACATAGTGTTAAGATGAAGAGAAAGGATATGGACTTATTCTTTGTACCACTGCTTGAACAGTCATGTGACACCATACGAATGACTAAAACAATAAGTCATCAGGAGATTGACGTGGGATCAATGACATGTTTCATATTAAGTGGACAAAAGCCACCGAAAGCAGAAGTAATACACTCCAGAGACTGTCTCACTGGAAATACACTGAGTTCCTCATTTTGATGTAACATATGATTACATGATCAGAAGACTTTATACATAACGTTTGGTACTGGCTATGCCTTTGTTTGTTTTTTTACAGCTTTTAGAGGAGACTGACATGCACCTGAGCAGAAGTGTCCACCCATAATTTGTGTATATCATGATGATTTTGTGATGACTCTTTAAGCTGAACTAGGGCAGTAGTTGAATAATGGTAGGTACATTTATGGATGTACGTCAAGAAAGAAACTTCCTAAAGAGGGACTGGTCACAAGAAAACTGCCTGCAATGATCAGAAGGGAAAAACCGAACTTCTGCTTTGAAACAGTCTTATTTTAGCACATGCTGGGATGTTCACAGGTTCGAATCATCATTGTGGCAGTTTAAAAAGTAATTGATTTCTTACGGGATTCATCCAGTACATTTTAACCAAAGCTTGTGCATGTACCACAACTTTATAGAAACCTTATAGAGAATAACAGAGATTAAAACTCTACATGTAAAGCCTTATTAGTTGTTGTTTTTTTTAAACATACAGCAATGTCTGGTTCATGTCTAACCATGACTCCAATGCACTCCAGTGCGCTGCAGCTTTGTCTGTTTTCCAAATTAAATGAGTGGTGTGATTCATGGAAATAGCTGAAATAGTTCTCCAAACAACCCATTTAGAAAAGACATAAGGGAAGGAGTATCCACAATGAAGAGATATCATCTCAGTTAGTTTACTTCTGTCTGAAAAAGAGGAAACGTCTGACACGTTTCTGCATTTTGTCCTTTATTTCAAACGTTTATTTTCTTGGTCCAGAAGATAAAACACTGATTTCTGCTGCTCGTGACTAATGATATGATTGGAGGGCCTCGGTATTTACATACCATGAGCATGTATGGACAGCTAAAATATGTGCCATTTCTTATTCTTGATTCTGAAAAACTGAGACAACTAGTCTACTGACACATATTGGATTTTGGGGTGTTACATTACAGGGCTTTACATGGTTCTGGTCGGTCTTCGGGGTGGGTCACACATCCGCTGGGAAAGGGTTGGTAGTGCTCAATAACCGTTACTGGGTTAGGTCCCTAATCTTCACACACCGGCACAGTTGACTGCCGTCTCGACTATCAGCCTTAAATTATGTGGACGTGTGGCTTTGACCTCGGGTTACCTCCTTCAGCTGGTCCAGCTCCTGTCGAACCGCCTCGTATTCCACTTCCAAGTCATCGAATCGCTGTTTGAGCTGCTGCTTCTCCTCCAGCACCGCCAGCCCGTACTCCGCCGCCTGGATCTTTTCGTGGCTCGTTTCGCGCAGCTCGCGGCTCAGACGCTCGACTTCGGCTCGGAGCCACTGCGGCCCGGCCTCTGTCACCAGCACCGCCTCGGCATACTCCTGCTCCTCCATGGACATCTTGGCGAGCCGCCGACTCCCAACTGTAACGGGACCCAGCCCCGGCTGGCCGGCTAACAGGAGCAGTGCGGAAAACCAAGTGCAGAAATCACTGCCCTCTTTGTTTGAACCGCATTGTAAAGGAGTTTTTTCTAAGGCGTTTAGTTTCCTCTGCTCTTTCCCGCCCTAAATTTAAACAAAAAGTTCAAAATAGACGATAGTTTTGTCATTCTCGAGGACTTTCTTCAGCTTCTTCATGAGGCTGACAGAGGAAACTTAAGTTGAGATCATCGATAGGAAAAAGCTGTCTGCACTACATTCAAATCTATGAAGCCGTGGAGGGAAATTGAGTTTTAGCTGAGTTTTCATCGCCCAGTAGACAATGTCGGTCAGCTGCCACGTTGACTTCAGGTACCAGAATGCATTGCGCTACCATCTCCAGAAATTCACCCTGACTCCGGGAGCCTGTACAGTGATGCCATCTAGAGATTTTCTTGCTGAAACTACAGCCATAAACCAGAAGGACTCATTTTAGTCACCTCTTCATAAAAAATTCCCACCTTTCTGATAAAAAATTTAGCGAATTGGATGTCAGGTTTGCCTGCTGCTGCAATGAGATTCCATAGTTGAAATGACTTTCGAAACAGTCCCAAATTTAATTTACCAAAAGTTACATATATAACTTAGAGAAGGTCTGTGGATAATTATATATATATATATATTTATACGTGTGTGTGTGTCTGTCTGTGTGTGTGTACTTTTTTGTGAGCTTCTCATATGAATGTGATGGCAAATCAGCTTCGTCAGGGACTTTCCTTTTCCAACAGCACTTGACAGAGTGGTTTGACAGGATTCAGGAAGTTTATGTTGATTGTCTTATTGCTTAACTTGGCAGGAGAATTAACCTGGCTGGGCTAAACTCAAATGGTGAGTACAACTGTTTTTCAACTAGGGTCTTCAGTCAGGTGTAATGTAGAGCCTCTCTAACCCAAATAATATTTTTCACATTACTGATATTTGCCTGTTCCCATTCCGTCCATCTGTACTTTCAGTTCGTTCATTCATTACTCAGGTTGTTTCTCTTTCAGGAAAATGGAAGAAATTCCACTCCTGACTTTTACCAACATTGTAAGTAGCCTATTTGTGTTGTTATTTGTTAGAATTAGTTGGTGGTTGCACAATGATTCTCTTTCTTTTATTAAGATGAAGATATCCACCTTTCAACTGTAGGCACTTACCATTTTAACAAATCATTCTGAACATTTTCAGACAAATATTACCATTTTTATTCACTCTGCTTTGGGCTGGGATGTGGAACTGCACTCTATAGGCCATTTTATTGTAAGTAGATGTTCCTGCCAGTTTGTTAAATTATCATTAATTGTGTTCAGAAAAAAGTACATTACAAGTCAGTTAACTTAACATGATTGAAAACTTTCTTCATCTTTCTTCTGGTTTGGGATAAGGGACACATTTTCAAATTAAAACATGATGTAGATTTCATGAACTGATGTTTTTTTGTGTTTTATTTTCAGCGCTTGCAATTCCATCAGTTTTTGGGTTATTTTTCTTAATAGTTTTTGAGATTATAGGCATAATCGCTGGTAAGCAAACCCTTGTTTCATAGTTTCTGCCAATATTTTTAAACACTTTTTATGATAGCTTTCATGTTCTATTTTATAGACTCTGCTAGTTCCTCTTTGCCCGGTGCTAGACTGATTTGGCACAGTGCCCTTTAGGGTTTGGCTTCATATTGGTAATAGCAATGTCATCTGTTTCCCGACAGAGCTACCAGCTCATACTAAGGAATGTAAAGGCCCTCCTTATGACAAAAGAGGTATATATTCCTGCATGCACAGTAATTATCTTGATTTGAAATTATTTAGCTATTGATTATTCATAATAAAGAAGCTGTAAAGGCAGATATATTGATATTTCTGGCAATGTGGAGGCTGACATTTCCCCCTTTAATTGTCTTTAGATGTGTACTGGGGTTTTTGTTTCGCCCTTTTTGTTGCCATTGTGAATCTCAGCTCATATCATGGTAAATAATACAAAAATGGCTTCAAAGCATGTGAGATGTACGAATACCACCAACAAAACATATTTCTTGTGTTAAAATGTTGTGGTTTCTTTCAGTGTACACACTGTCTTATGGATGTGGAATCATAATGTTTTCTATAAGGGGAGCCAAACGGAAATACAGTTTTCTGAGGTAGGTAGGCTTTGAAAGCTGTTTTTCTTTTGTGTGTAAAATGCCCCAATACACTAGGGACCATTGGAGCTGTATCAAAACTTAGGTTCATTACATTTTTAATTTCTTGGAAGGTTTAAATAATAGTCTTGAATGAACTAAAATGCTTGTGTGTCTGTTTTGGACAGGGAGCTAAGAAAGAGAAAGAGTGCCTGGAGGTCTAAATGAATTTACAACCACAGAGTGGAGTCAAAGGCAGTACATTTCTGTGAAACAATACAGGCCAAAGAGTTGACGTTGACTTGATGATAAACTTTAAAAGGTTCAGAAATGCTGGGAAATAATTTATATCATCAAAACAAGCACGTCAGACTCTTCGGATGGTTGTTTTCTAGTAAGAGGAAGGTGCACCTGCAAGCTCAGAGATGTCCAGTGGATGAATAAATAACGTGTAACAGAAACAATGTCAAAATACCACGCATTTTCATATATATAAAATATGTGTATGCAATCCAGTAGTTATAATGCTTGTGCTTTTCAGCCACTTTAACACTGTACAAAATGCTGTGTCTATGTGTGTGTTAATTGAAAAACACATCAACAAAAATTTTGTCAAATGTAGAGGGCTTTATTACATGAAAGTATGGGACATACAAAATCTCAAGTAACAAAGAAAGTGTTTGTTCTTAGGTTCACAAGTCAGAGGCAGCTAGCTCCCTATCTACCTTTAAACTCACAATAGCCTTAATTGTTATACTCTCTATCAAAGCTTGATAGACCTACAGCCCTGAGGTGTGTTTGTTTATGGTACCTTTAAACTCAATAAAAAATGCAGTGCTGAATGGACAGAACTTATTTTTTTAAAACAAAAAGGCTGAACTCGTTTTATCATGAGACTTGTGGTTTTCTGTGCCTGCTCTTTTTGTCCTTCCTACATTTGTTTAATTTTTTTCTACTACGTTCTACAAACAACGACTCGCTTCGCTTCTTTCTGACACAGTCGTCATGATACACACCCACCTTCGAACTATGCCCCACCCAGTCTTATGAACTACATCAGAACAATACACAACCATTTCCAGTTTAATTAGGTTCATAAAAGAGTGTTTAAAAACAGGTGATACAAATAATGTGCTGATAATCGATCAATAGTTTTTTAAATGTAAAGTCAGTTAGCTATGGCCACATTTTAATTTCGGACTGTAAAATGTCCACATGTAGATTCTGACTGGGAATGTATGCGTGTGTTTGAATTTGTATGTCTCTGTTAGTGTGTCTGAGGTGAATGCACAAAAAGAGGGTTAATGTGAAACTACTTCAAGGGAAACGGCACAAAATCACAATACTTTAGCATACGTTTATGGGTATTCACAGTGAATGACTTGAAAGAGCTGGGTGTCGTGAATCAAAAACATACATCACTGCTGACATTTATCAGATAGGTTGGGGTGGGGCACAGAGAAAGTTACTTGGCATTAGTAGAGCTGCTGAGCATCTTGCGGATGGCCTGGGCAATGGAGTCACGGTCAATGCCATAAACCTTAAGCAGCTCGTGTGGTTTGCCACTGCGGGGAGTGTGGGACACAGCCAGACGGTTCAGACTGAAGCCAGACTCGTTGACCATTGCTGAGGACACTGCTTCCCCCAGACCACCTGCAAGATCGACCGTTCATAACATGAGAGGTATAAAGGGAAGAGACAAATCCTCTTACAGATGGGGCAGCCCAAATAAATTCCTTTAAAAAAAAAAAAGATCTTCTTCACATTTGTTATCCAAAACATAGTTTAAAAAATCCCAACCTCCTGGACTTCATCTGGTCCAGATGTATGAGGTACAAAGCATCAGACTGACCGCAGTTAATACATTTCCTTTGTCCAATTTAGTCCATGCTATTACCCACCCCCCATCTCTTATGAGGCACAGAGGGTAAGTCAGACAGCACTATCTAGGTCACAGTCAGCCCCATGGGCACATGCTCAGTTAAGGAAAACTGACAGCGCTCTGCTTTTCTGGCTCCCGCATTTACAAAATAAAGTACAGCGCCAATACCTTGCCTCCAATAAGGGCACACAACAAGGAGGCCTTGTGTGGGCCAATAAGTAAATGCCACCACTGCACGTCAGAGTGTCGCTGCCGCTGAACCAATGGACGCGTGCCACCGCAACATTTACAAGGACACGGACCAATGGTAAGGTCCTCTGACGGCATTATGCAACGGAGCTTGTTGGCGCTACATTGCCAGTGGTCATGCATCATGCAAAAGCTGTGCAGCAATCATGGAAACCTACCTTCATAGTAGTGGTCTTCAACGGTGAGGATACGTCCCCTTGTGGCTCGTGTGTGATCCATTATGGTTTTAATGTCCAGCGGTTTGATTGTAAAGGGGTCGACGACTCTCACAGAGATCCTCTCTGTCAGATGAGTAAAGAGAAAGGAAAACACGAAAACACAAATGACTAAGGACATCCCGCCAACTGTTCAGGATCTTCCAGTAAATGCTGGAGCCAATATCTATCATCATTAGAGTCAAAACTCCACAAAAGTGTGAAATGACTAATGTGTGACATGATTGCAGAAACTCTTCAGTCTGCCTGATGGAGCATTGCTAATGAAAGCAAAAGTAATGAACATAAGCAAACATTTCAGTGGTTTCCCAGAGGGTTCAAACAGAGTGGCTTAAAAACCTTTCAGACCGGTTTTAGGAACTGTTAATGCTTCAGTGGTAATACTTTAATCATAGGGTTTATCAAAGAGGAGTAGACATTTACATATTTTACATTTTTAAAAGGTTTTTAATTAGTAAAATAATGGGTAATAAATAACTAAATCAGAGCCATGTCAAATTACGGTAACTTCATTATCTCCACATGTGCCGACAGTCTTTTCCTTTTCTTTAACATTTTTTATTTTTTTGTCAACATGACTATTTCCCATATTATACCTTTCTTCAGATGTTCAGCTGCAGCAAGGGCTTCATGCAAAGTCACTCCAGCTGCAACAACAGTCACCTGGTCCTCCTTGTTCTGGTACACCACCTGACAAAGGCAATGGTGTAAACCATGAAAAACTTTTAATTTGGAGCAATCATTTTCCATCGTATCAACTAAATGTGCACAAATGACCTGTTACCTTTGCCTGTCCAACATGGAAATCTTCATTGCTGTTGTAGATGATGGGGTTGTCTTGGCGGCTGGTTCGGATGTAGCAAACACCCTGATTAAAAGTGACAAGAATATCACAAAACGGGACTTATTTGAACTGAATTTGGGCCACTCAATCATATAAAAAAGCAAGTCTCCGCAATAGCATTTGAAATACTTTTGTAGTTGTAGCCAGTTCCACAGCTTTCTCCGTGGACACTCCATCGCAGGGGTAGAAAATGGTTGCATTAGGCAGGGCCCTAAACATGGACATGTCCTCTAGAGCCATCAGGGAGGGGCCTTCTTCTCCTGTAACAGAGACATTTGTGATTGATTTTGTGCTTCCAACATTGAGGAAATCCTTAAAAGTAATAAAGTGGTTGAGCGAGGTGATGCGTGCAGATGCATGGCAAAAGAGCCAGACTGCATGCAGTGTACCTGCACTAACAGAGGAAAATTTGGTTCCCTGCAGACAGCTTCGAGGGCAGACACAAAGGGAGAAAAGGGGAGGATTGAGTAATAGCTGAAAGGTCAAGGGGGGAAACGTTAGGGAAATCACAGCATTAGAAGGGAAGAGAGACATCACCAAAAACACACTTTTAAAATAAAATCATCAAACATTTGGGTTATAGTGCGTGCAGTCGGAGGACAAAGTGTGAAGGGATACAGAGAAACTTTGTGAGGGTGCTGTTAGATGGGCTTTGTGAGAGGGGCTGTGGTGTGGACTCATTAGCAGCAGTCTACTAACCGGTGGACAGACCACAGTGGGAACCGCACAGGTTGATGTTGCTTTCTGAAATTGCTGCCATGCGAAGCTGGTCATAGGCACGAGTAAAAAAGGAAGCAAGAGTGCTGGCAAACACAATGTTCCTCTCACGAGCTGCACATCCCATGGCAACGCTGACCTGGAAAAAAAAAAGTTACATTTTTTTACCTAAGGGAGAGAGACGTGGGTTGCATGTATATGACCAAAAATTCCCTCGGGGGTCAAATATTCACAAAAGAACTCATATTTGAAAGCTTCTTTGAAACATAGAACACTTTAAGTAGAGAGTTTAAAGAAAGATGTTTTTCCACAAATCTCTGAAGATTATTTTTCCATATGGGTAGAATCAGTGGCATACCTCCTCTTACAAATAATTTCCTCTCTCCTTTCTCCAAGGCTTTCCTCAGTCCCTCAACTCATGTGCTTTGTTGAACCCATTGAAAGCATATGTGTTTGTTTTTATCTGATGTGAGAAAGTTATTGCGGCAACAGGAAAGAAACAACTACTTCTTTATGTCTACAGTAAAATTACGTTTGATTGAATGTTTAAATTGTCCATTATTGCTATCAGCTATAGTCATTGCTTCTTTTAACTTTTGACTTTTCTCATGCATTCTGCCAGATGGCCTTTTCCTCTGCTGATTAATATTTTACTTCTGAATACACTTGTCATGACCGCTTATCATCATACACATGCCTGACCTACATTAGAGATGGCTGCTGGAGCTATAACAGGACAAAGAATTAGTCTGATGGTGTCCAAATTAAGACCAGATAATGTAACAACAGAGGCAACCGTGGGTACCAACAGCTGCTGGCCATAAGGACGTATGTGGACACTGTTCCTGCCCCCACTCCCCCCACTGTTCCTGCCCCCACTTTCACAGACTTACAGTCCCTGAATATATAGAGTCAGGTTGTGTTCATAACTCGAATTTATCATAACATTGTTAAGTGAGAGCTCACTTCTTTACTTTTGCAAAAGGGGCTTTAATCTGGAGATCATTTGGGGAACATACCATGTTTTGCTGAGCAATGTAGCACTCAACGAAGCGGTTTGGGTGCTCATTCTTAAAGATCTCCGAGTATGTGAGATTATTGGTGTCTCCGTCAAGGGCAACAACACGCTCATTGTAGCGGCCCAGCTTGGCTATGGCCATGCCATATGCCTTCCGAGTAGCAATCTGTAGAGAGAAAAATCATAGCATGTGCTGGTAAACCTCTCTGTGGCATTCAGTCATGTGTCCCAGAAGCTTGTAAAGAAGCTTGAGATAAGAGCAAGAGGATATAAAAGAAGATTGCGTTTGTAATAAAGTTCCAAACCTTTTCTCCTGGCTTATAGCTGGGTGCGCTCGGCATCCTAATGTTCCTCAGGCTGACAGGTGGGGAGTCCTCGATGGGAGCAGGTGGATAGAGGTGCTTACTGGTGTTCATAATGCGGCTCTGCAGATCCTTCATGACCACATCAGCCATGTCTTTGGACAGAGCTTTGGCATGCCAGCCCAGTTTATCCTCCGCAGCTGAAACCATATCAGCAAGGCAGCGCAATGTATAGACAATCTTTATTAGATGAGTTACTTCTAACAATAGAAAGCTTATGCCATGAACCGTTGAGCATAATTCTTTAAAAAGTCAGGGCAATGCATTTGTAGATGAAGAGAGACAAACAATTACCTGGAATGCCTTTGCCCTTGATGGTTTTAGCAATGATTGCAGTGGGTTGATGACGTGGCTGGCTCAAAGCCTTGCAAAGCTCTTCCACACTGTGTCCATCCACAATGATGGCATGCCACCTATCCACACACACATGGAAATGGCAGATGCACTGAACTGTGTCACCATTCACTATATATACTATATAGCATTCACTCATGTTTGAAATATCTAAATGCAATTACCCGAAAGCTTCACAGCGTTTTTGGTATTTCTCCACATGGTGCTGCAGGGGTGCAGGGTCACTCTGGCCCAAACGGTTGATGTCCATAATAGCCACCAAGTTATCAAGCTGGTAGTAGGAAGCGAATGACATGGCCTCCCAGACAGAACCCTCTGACATCTCGCCATCCCCCAACAGGCAGTACACACGGTAACTGAAAAACAATTTCAGATGATTGGACAAGTGTGTATATCTCTATGAGTCAATCATTGTGTGTTTGGCTTCTCTCTCGGGAAAACACTCTTTAAGTCAGACAAGTTCTATTCCCCTGTCTGAGAGGTGGTTTAAAATCATCTGTTACACGATAAAAGTTCCCTGAGGCCCCTGAAGCTGTGGCTGCAGAATTTCACACCTCCCACTGGAACATGCCTCCAGGAAGAGTCATTCCATTTAGACACATTACTCTGAGTATGATAAGGAAATATAAAGTTGTACACTTACTCTTTACATTAAAACACTTATTAAGACTCCCCCAATTGGGAAGTAATTTTATGCTAAAAGGGGGTTTCATTTTTGCTCATTATTGCAAAGTATAAAGCATTAAAAACAAGTTTAATACAATAGATCAGCTAATCGTGGTTAAAAGTGCCACATTTGAATTTGATTCTGAGATTAAATGTGCCGAGATGGTAAAAATAACTGAGATACAACTGCTGTGCCTGTGATTATTAGAGCAGAAGAATCGTGAGAGCAGAGCATGTCGCTGCAGCACACACCCACCGAATGTGGAATTTCTTCATCAAAAGACATTTGAAGAGGCATGCTACAAAAATACATGTAATATCCCAACAGTATATCAATATTTCTTTAATATCACTGAATTGTTTTAAAAAATCAAATGTGCATAAAAATCCAAAACCCTTGTAAAAAAAAAAAAAAAACTTTAGTGCTTCTGTGTTTGTATTTCACACATTTATGAATGGATTACCTGGACTTGTCAAAGTATTTCCCAGTGTAAGCCATCCCACAGGCAACACCAAGGCCCTGCCCCAGAGATCCAGTGGCAACGTCCACATATTGCTGCTTCTGAAATGCACAGAAATCATGATCGTCATCAGGGAACAGATTAGATGATGATTTATTGCTCTGGCTCAGTGAGATAATCCCCGAGGTGCAGTACAGTATGTGATAGCTTACAGGGGATGGGTAGCCCTCCAGGCTAGAGTCAACCTGGCACAAGCTGAGGAGATCGCTCTCTTTCAGGAAACCTGTTTCAACCCACATGGAGTACAAGGCAGGAGCAGCATGACCCTGATCATAAAAAAAGAGACAGAAATGAAAAATGCAACTTGCCTATACACACAGACTCAGAACAAAAACCAGTGCATGGTTTAGTTGTGCTAACCTTGGACAGGATGAAGCGGTCACTGTTGAAGTTCCTCGGGTCTTCAGGGCGATACTTCATGGTATGGAAGAAGAGCACAGACATAATCTCTGCCACACTGCAGCATGATGTTGGGTGTCTGCAGAACAGATGGAAAATAAAAAAAATAAAAACACATATTGGTCATTTTCAAACAAAAAAGTGGCGTTTTAAATGTCAAAACAAACAAATAATTGTTCATCTGTTGGAGATGTATTCACACATGCTTTAAGAAAACCACATTTACAGAGAACTCCAGCCCCTGCTGGTACATTTTCTTTAATCAGAGATGTGACTACAAATACTATCATGCAAATGATTTTTTATCTTACAGTTCTCCAGAATAAACCATTCCTTTATCTCTGTGAAATCTACAGACAATTTAGCCTCTTTAAAAATGTTTTTAAAAATCCTCATTTCTCGTCAGTATATGTGTCACTCATACCTTTCTGCATTTGGCGTACAAGTATTGTTTCAATGAGCAGTCAGGCTCCAGTTTAAGAAATCCCATCATCCTCCGGATATTTGCTCAATTTTGAGTTTCACAGATAAGCATGATCTTTAATAGATTGTTTCAAACTAAGATAAGAACTCCTGATGCTGCTTATTTCAATAGAGTTATTCTAATAAAACATTATCAAACCTCTATCAGATGTCCAAAGACACAATAGTAGACATTTTAGTTTATTATTATACATTTTTAGTCATTCTTCTTTTGAAAACTATGCTTGTTATTGCAGCTACATCTTAACCTTCCAGTCTGTCGCAACACATAATTCACCCACCACTGCACATCACAGTCTATTGTCTCTGATTCTACAAAGAAAACATTTTCTTTAAAAGTCAGAGGTCATATGCTATATTCATCCTCTATTGAAAGTATATACAATATTTGAAAATTACCCTAAATGTTCCACAACGATATCTCATGGTCAGTTTTAAGAATTTTCATAAATGAGACAATTTGATTACATAAAAAGATACATTTCATGTCTCATAACGTTAGTAATTGTTTGTAGAATGAAAAGAGTTCCAAATTTCAAAACAATGATTTTTACCATTGTGTATAACTAATTCAATCTGATAGTTGAATAAAGCAAAATTAGAAAAATATGCTGAATTTGCATGTCCACTGGAAACAAATCATTTTAAAAAGTGCAATAATAGAATTAAAAAAAAATAAATAGAAAAATTGTATTTCTTTAGGTTAAGTGGTCAGTGGGGAAAAGAAAGAGAACAAAGAAGAACACATTGTTCCTATGACCCTCCACTAGCATTTGTGTGTGCGCGTATTCATACATAGTTCTTTGGGGGCAAATGTGCTTATCTGCCATGTTTTAATGGAAAAAAATATTTATTTATTTTGCTATGCAGACTTACTTTGGCATCTGGCAATATGTGCATTGCATTCACATTTTCACATAGGGGGTAATGTGTATGAAATAAGTTGATGTGACTCACCCGCTGCCTGCTGCAGTGGTCGCCTTGATGGAGTTGATTCGGAGGCGGTTGGCGATGTTTTTCAGCGCCTGCACTGTCTGCTGGTCCGGTTTGTGGTAATCCTCCATGAAGGCTGAGAGTTGAGTTAAACAGCACAAAAAAGTGGGCAAACAACCGAAGAGTTTCGAATTTGAGGATGTAGGTGACAGAGGGTTGGCAAAGAGCAGCACCTGGATGTGTGTGCGTGAGAGGGAGACAGAGAGAAAGAAAGGAAGAGACCGGAGGAAAGGCTGGATTTATCCTACCGCGCATGCAGACACATAGATGCTCACATAGACAGACACAGAGGAGGAGGGGGGACCAAGTGACGTGGGATGGGTGTTGCTGCTAAAATATCATGAAAAGCATTCTATTGGTTAGTGTGTGACTGGGATGTTGAGGGGTGGAGGTCATCTGAAGCACCTCACCCTAATTCAATGTGGCTTCACTGTCTAAACTAATCATTCAAATGTGATGGTTGATTCTTCTTTGTCATTTACTCACACCGAGCAAGAAAGTCTTCTGGCTAAATCCTGTGTTTGAACATGTCCTGATCTGTGTTCATTAGAAAAAAAACGAATCAGAACTGGTAGAAGAAAAATTTAACAGAAAAATGAGGGGCGACGAGACTCTGAAGAAAGGGATTAATCCAGTTCTGTTTTAAAATCCGGCTTAGACTATATGTTCCACTTAGGGACAAAACACAAGAGGACAGGCTGATTAATTTTCCTCCAGTGTTGAGTATGCTGCTGTGAAATCAGTGAAGATGACATAATTCTCCCCAAAAAATTGAGCCTTTTGATAGGAACAAAAGACACAGGCATAAAACTTTGAAATGACAACCCCAGTTATTAAAAATATTGGTACACTATGTAAAAAAAAACAAAATCACTGATCAATTGGTATTTTGTTTTCAGCAGAACATTTAAAAAAAACCTTGTAAGTAGGAATTTTTTTCCATTTCATGAAAAATAAGAGCCAATCCCGAATTTGATCACATTCATCATATAAATAGTCCCTCTTCATGTTGTGCTTTATGTGTCACAATTTACTAAATATTTTCCAACTGGGGAGTCATCTGTAGTACAGGCCAGTTCGGCAAAATGATTCTTCCTCTATGAAGCTGTGACATATTTTAATAGCTGCAACAGTTTAGGGTTTTATTTCTGAAATATGCAAGGGCATCCTTGATAAAGACAGCTTGGTGGCCTCTACATCGTGCCAGTAAAGCAAATCAGTGTTAATCATAAACACTGCACAAGAGGCTGAAAAGTAAAACAAACAAACAAAACAAACAGAAATGTGGACTGTGTTTTTGTTAATGGGTTCTCTGAGGTTTTGTGTTACTGTTTTAAAATAGAAAATGTTATATCTATCCCCATTTTTTATCAAAAATTAGAATTTAGTTTTTTGTTGAATTTTGTTTGTATGTGGAGGATGGGTCTGCCATCTAGAGGATATTCTCATTCAGTACATTTGACCTGTTTGATCCAGTACTGGCTACACATGGAGTATTCAAAGTAATGAAAATAGTCAGAGAAAACTTTCATGATGGTAAGTCAGTATCAGCCTGTCTCTGTGGCTGAATTTGTAAATTCACTGGAAAGGCTGGTTTAACCATGACTCATGACCGGTTAGTTGGGTAACTCATAAACAGATCAAAACCAGCTATGCTTCAAAGTCATTTATAATTATCTGGCTTCACTGTTTTTTTCCCGATTTCGTCATAAAAAAGGCTTTTTAATTAATCAGTGAATGAAAATAACTTTTCCCAGGGCCACCCTAATTTTGAGAGACATATGACAAGTCTCTGCATTCATCTACAATCCGACTTCTTTTTGGCATCACTTTTACATTACACAAAAGTTGGTCAGAAAAGTGTTGTGCCGTGTTTTCTATGGACAAATTAGATTTGCTGTTTTCCACAGTTAGGAATAAAGTGGTAAAGAAATACCACATGTCAGAAGAAATAAGTAGATTAAAAGGTAAACGTGAACTGACATACTTGTAGTGTAGCACAGAGAATATCATAAAAGTTAGTATGAAAGTGTTTAAGCATGACTAAATAAGAAAACAGAGTGTAATGATGAATTCATTTAGGTAATACAGTGTTATCTGAAACAATGATGTCTGTTAGTTGATGAGGTGTGTACACATTAGTGAGGAAAAAAGAAGCAAAGCGTTGAATGAATGAGTTGCAGGAACAGTGTTCAGGACTGCTCTCCATCTCTCCATTTTGAAAATAATTTTATTACTGACTAGACATCTTCCAAGTTTTCAACACCAGAGGCCACTGTCTCCCACTAAATGTTGTATGAAGCTGGCACACAAATGGTTTTTTAATGCTATGCCTGCAGCTAATCACAGAGGAGAAAATATTGAGACCCTAACATATTTACTAAAGAAACAAGGTTTTAGAGTAATGGTGTAGTGACGAAACCAATTAACACGAGGATTAAAAAATGAACACAAACGTTGGAAAATTAAAGCAGTGACAAAGGTGTGAAGTATTGTCAACAGTGGCAGATGTAAGTATGACCCAACACATGCAATGCATGTGTCATTTATGACAATTACTGCCTTCCCCTGTCCTTCATTCATTTACTCCTCAACCTCCATGGCCATGTGATGTCTGTTGATTCCTGCTTTTTGCCATAGCTTGGAGGTCACATCCCAGCACCTCTGCATTCACAGCAAGACTGATGCCATCACTTTAGCTCCCTGCTATCCTGCTTCTACCAACATTGTCCTTCTCCCAGTTTCCAGCAACTCCTCTGGGCTCCTGGGTCCTGTCAGATAAGCTTTTCTTCACAGAGCCCCACAGGTGTCAGCCAATGGTAGCCTGGGAAGATAACGCCACGTGATGGTGTTCAGCCAATGTCTTACACCCACAATTGCACACTTCCTGGAGGGAAAGTACATTCACAGAGCAAGAATGTTTCTATTTTTAATCTCTCTGGCAGAAAAAGAGGAGCAAAGCCACCACAAAGCTTTCATGTAACAAAAATAAGCATATGTGTGTTTCCAATAACACAATGAGGAGCTTTAGTGAGCAGAAACATACATCCCTGTTACTGTTGGACTTCAATGACAGGTGGGATTTTAGAATGAGCACAGATGTGCACACTAATACACACACTCTCACACAGGCCCACACACATGCACAAAGGCATGCTCACGTGTGCACACAAGAAGGCATATTCTCACATTCACATGCATACAATCTCACGCTCCCGTCCACGAAGCCTGGTACATTGCTTTAATGCCAGTCACTCCTTCAGGCTTGAGCCTCCTCCACTCTGCTCTTATCAGTCCATTTCCTTAAATCGCTCTGCAGTCACCATGATGACAGGGTGCTTGCCCTTCTATCTGAGAGCTGTCTGTCACCTAGAGGACCCACCCACTGACAGTGCATAGGAGCAAAGCATATAGGACTGGTAACTGAATTTTCAACAGAGCTCTCAATCATACAGAAACTCTCATTGATGCATTATGTGATCAACCTCTGAGTTGGAAAACGCTCAGGGAGGAGTACGGGGGATAGACAACAAAAAGGTGAGAGGACAAAGAGACCTCATGACATGGCCATAGCATGGAAGTGGAACCGCTGATTAAGCTAGATAATTAGAGAAAAGAGGATTAAATGAACCATCTGAAGATGGGAGATATAAAAACTCCGATGAAGAGCTTTAGATAAGCAGAGTAAGTGGATGAAAAGGGAACAGAGACAGAAAGATTCAGGCAGGAGAGTGTGTGAGCAGGGGTTGAGGCTGAGCGTGTGTTGTGGGCTCAGCAGTGAAGTTGACGATGCACTGGGAGAACAGCTGCGCTGCAGGGCTTTCAGGCTCCATCACTACTGCTCTCCTTCAAGCAGCTCGACTAACACACTCCCGTTGCTCAGATGCACAAACACGCACACAAATCTACACACACAGCTCTCATAAACATGCAAAAGCACCGTTTGTTGCATCAGTGCACATGAACGTGCTGCAGTAATAAGGTTTCAGCTGCGGGTTCAGACCCGGATATCATATCAAGTCGCATGTTGTCATCTCTAGAATAGCTTCAAATGTTCTGAAGCTTTGTGCTTCACCATGAGAGCAAAAATCAACGAAACACATGCAGCCAGCATAGAAATGGAACACTTAAAGACTGAATGAGACTGAGATTAAATGAGAGAAAGAAAATAGTTTTGCAGCTTATGAGCACAACTGTACTGCTCATGCAGATTTATTGCAATCTGATTTACAAAAAGGCTGCAGAGAACAATGAAGGGAGGGAGCGGGTGATGGTAAAACTGAGGGATAAAGGACAGAGAATAAACTAAGTGCATTTACAGTGTAAGAATAAAGTACAACAGATGTTCACTGTGAACACTGAAATCCACTTACTTTTTATTTCTTGGTGTGGTAAACAATAAGATCCCTTCAGAGATTTGCCATATACATGATAGCAGCTGAATGTGGGTACAGGTTTAATTGGTGGGTGTTCTTTATTCAATCAACAGAGCCCAACATGCTTTCTGTAAAATCAAACTCCATCAGCAGAGAATGGAATGTATTCTAAATTAATAATTTCGTTTGATGTTAAGCTTGTGAGTTTGGAGCAGGGAGGAAGCTCAAATCTGAGGTAGGGGTTGGGGTGCGGGGGGGCTAGTGCAGCGCTGAGAAAATAAAAGCAGCCCTGGTCCCTGGGGGGCCACTGCTCCCTCCGTTTGTATTCTAAATCCATTTTCAGCAATCTTGAACTGCACTGCGCAGTGAATGGCTTTGAGGGAGAAGAAAGAGGTGGAGTTTGAACATGAAATCAGGAAAAAGTGCCAACACATGGCTCTGTGCATATCAGCTCTAACACATGAATGAACACTATGATGTATAAGTGTTATTTCCACCATCCTCACTACCATACGGAAATCTTAGTGGAAAGTCATCATTATGGAGAAACCAGGTCAAACAAAACAATAGAATCACTGAGCAAATGTGGACTTGACGAAAATGAAAGTGGACCACAAAAAATAAGTATGTTTTAGACTTATTTTTAGACTTTAAGTTTATCTAATTCTCAGTCTCTTTTAATTTTCATTCCCAGTCACATTTATATTTCCCATTACAAGCATTAAACAAAAATTGGTTAAAGAGTGGAAAAACATTATGTGTTGTGTTAGAATACTGTAGACCCGATGGACCTGCAGAGACCAGTCCCATCTACCAGCACATAAACAGGGGGATCTGAAATAAAATGTTCCGTTTCACATTGCTTTGAAATCTGTGCAGGTTCTCACACCAAACTGACACAAAAGAAAATTCAACTAAATGAAAATGCATACAATTCCTCTCTTACTGACATTATGTTAATTAATTGAATTATAAATTAATTGGCTTCTCAGTACAAAATGGACTTGACTAATTGACTTTT